TCTGCAAAGGGAGTACCTCCCGTCTACTGTGGATGGATAAATCAACCTCACGGTGACGCCAACTTTTGACAATGGCCCACTAGCGACTATATATGCTTCAATATATTATAGAGTACGTCTGCCGAGCAACAAATGGACATACGGACAGAAAAGTCCAAACATGAGTAGCTACCGTTACCTTCGTGAAGTGCGATAGCTGTTGTGGAATAGTTTATCAACGGGCACATGCTCTAGAATGCCCGTACTAAAAAAAAAATAGGACCTGCTGACCACGCATCAGTCAGTACATTACGCGTATTTGGTTATCAGGATCTTTGAGGATAGGTTATACTCTTTGACAGACCGGACAGGTGGACCTTTTGGGAGAACAGACTGAAGTAGAGACGAATAGACCTACACCAGATTGCCAAATGAATGTCCATATTGTCTCTATATAATACTTTGCAATTGAAGAATTGGTACATACGACCATAGGGTGTGGAGCCTGATAGTCCTATAGATTCGAATTGATGACACTCATCATCTTCCCTTTCATATCTCACACAGGGGATATTGGAGTTGAATGCCAGTCGTCGACTAGTTCGACGACCAAGCGCTCCGTTGGTTTCCAGGAATAAATACAAGGCATGAGTCCTTGCAGATGTAAATAGTGCATAGAATGACTTGTCTCAATTAATGCTGCTCAGACCTGGCTGAATCAGCTTGTGGCTGTGACAATTTTTAAAGTTTTAGTCTGTACTCTATAGAATGACTAGCAGAACTTTTCTAAGCTGCTAAGCAAATTAAGGAAAGAACACTTGGTTATACCCAGTCATTGATGTGAATCCTTGAACCTTAATCCTGTTTCATCTCTTATACGTCAGATACCTTTCACAGTCTATCTAGCTACATTATTCCACTTTCTATATCTTTATATTTGTCTAAGCATACACTGAGTTTATGAAGAATATTAATATTTACATTAAATTAGCCTCACTATCTGATCATTGATATATTGCTTACTGAGGTTAGGGACTAGTGGGCTACTGACTACTTTTAGTGAATATAACTTTATCTCACTTCCTATGACTGTTCTCTTACCTCTCTCTGAGCTCATAATGACACCCACTTGAACACCTGACTTTTAGGCATCAGTTCAAATACCCCTTTCTCCATCCCCATCCTGCTTCTTTCTTCCTTCTTCACCTCCCCGATCATCATCACTTCCATCATCTCGCAATCTTTGAACGTGGAATAGAGCATACTGAGTGCTGAGCTGAGGCCCCCGTAATCAACATTTGGTCTTTTCTGAAGTAATTCGAAAGAAGCTAGCACTTGGACTTCTCTATCACACTTCACCTAGCAGGGTATCCAAATATCTCAAGTTCACAATGACGGATACGATTCGCCCTGATAGTATCAAGGATTTCAATGCAGTTGGCCGCACGACAGGAACAACAGCGGACCTGGCAGGCATGGAATTCTTGATCCACTGCCCCCCCGACCTCCCTCCAAGAAGCCGGATCGTTTCGCTTTGTGGAATTACGGACTGGAACGATGGTGCCAGCCCCAAAAAAGATGGGTGGTTCATATCGGACTTTTACCTCTTTCACTATCTCCTACGCCGTCGTGGTAAATTCGTCTCTTTCCTTGGTGATTGCTCTCTTTTACATATGAAACTTAGCTGACTAAAAGCTCCCCAGATCCTCTATCAACTAACCAAATCTGGTTGACCTCAGAGAGCCCCGACCATTTGGTCCGAAAATATACAGAATATGCACACGGGGATCCCCACGGGGAGAGACGAATCGTCTTAGAGACACAGTTGTTGGATGGAATCTCCTCTGCGGGGAACTTGCGTGTTGTCGCCAGAAAGGACCTCCTTGAGAGGTTTCTCAACACCGTTCGCGAACAGGCCCTGATTGCGGAACGCCGAAGCGAACAGCTAGTTATTATGATATTCGGCCATGGAGATGCTGTGACCTTTGGGGTCGTCGTTGGCGGCGAAAGAGACTCTAAGAGCGCTCCGCGACTCTACATGCGAGACATCAGCAGATTGCTTCCCAGCGATTTGTCAGTAACTCTGCTGATAACATCCTGCTATTCTGGAGGCTGGCTCGTCTGCCCCGATCTCCCTAGATCTTCGCGATACCTCAATGTGACCGGTATTGCCGCCGCCGGAAAGAAGAAGGAATCCCACTCCTGGCCCGTTAGCAGAAGTATAGGCCGTGCAAGCGGCAGCTTGGCCGCCTCTGCCATTCTTGCGTCCCTGATCAAGGTTGAAGACACGGTGTCACAAGAGTTGCAAGAAATCTCGCCACATCCAACATACATTGAATTTAGCCATTCAATATTTGAAACCATCAAGGAAATGCACTTTTTCGGAGAGGAACAGAGGATACACTTCAGCGCAGAAGACGACGAATGGGAGATGAATTACCAGAGTCGTCTTGGGCTCCCGCTGGCATCCTACAAGACTCGATGGGAGTCCCTCCGAGAGATCCCGGCAACCGCACCCTCTGAAGGGGACGCAGGGGAAGCTCTTCTTCCAAGAACAGGTAATGCACGACAATGTGGACGGCTTCAGGTCCTTGCTCGAGAATACTTTGCTGCGAATCCCGGTCCAGACAATGCTGGGCCCAATGTAGCGTTTCACAACATGCTCAGATTCATTCTGCGCGGGAGAACCGATTTCGCCAAAGAGGAACTCAGCAGTTTGTTTGACATAGTGACATACAGGCTTGGCTCCATGCATGAAGCCGACTACGTCCGGACGCAAATGGAAATTGAGTTTCCTTCAATCTTTGACGTTGATATCTACAAATGGAAGAAAGCGAACTGGCCTGAATACTCTGCCCAAGACAGAGTGGAGAAAGAGGACATGCAATCGGAAATTTGTGATCTCATACAGCAGAGGCGGCTCCTGACACGCCCCATCGGGGGTGGCTTGTCATACACAAAGCCCGTAAACTACCTCGCGCTTGCCCTCCTTGAGTCGGGGTTACCATGGGAAGAAATCGAGAACAGAATAAAAAATACCAGTCTACAGAAGGTGGCATGGTACCGTTCGGTCTACAAGGCATGGCGAGGGAAGGGTGTGGTAAGAAATGAGGCGGTCATTACCTGGCGACGGGCATTTTTGGAAACAGTTAAGAGGATGGGTTGGAAGATCACTGAGAGGAATGAGTCATGGTGAACTAGGTTTGAGCTCACTAGGCTTGATGCTTAGTGATTTCGACTGGGGCCAAAATTCGTTGGTGCCGGAGGCAGGATTCCAGTTACACTGTAGCATGGACCATGACTGAAATGTTACCCCAGGACCCAGGTACTGACAGACAGCATGTGACCTGGTCACGTGATTATTGCTACATCCCAAATTGCAGTGCCCTCTTTATACCTTAGCTAGTCGAGTACTACGAACAGATTGAATCATACCATCGAATATCATCTTAAGGGATACTATTCCATCGAATCTTAGATCGTTAGATTCCCTTTATCATCTGCTCCATCGAATCCGCCCATCCAAGTCTTTTCAGTACTTTGCAGCAGTAGGAGCTGCTCTCCAAAGCAATTAATATTCAAACTCGAAAAAGCAGAGAAGGTCGGGTTACTGCGATCATATCTATCAAACTATATCTTCTCCCGTTATAATCCTAGCTCTAAATCCAACCTAACTCTAGTCTGATGCGTGCCAGCGGCCAGTCGAGGCACGTCCGTTTGCTTTATTACGGATCTCCGGTCTGGCCCTTACAGAGTAGGTCTCAAATGGCGAGTGCTGCTGAGAGAGGACACAGCAGGACAGGCGTTGGGTGAGGTCACTGGGTGCGCATTATTGATGTTCAGGCAGTTCAGGTCAGCTTCAGATGAAGGCACTGAAGGGGCTGAAGACAGGGCGGCAAGGACACTAAACCCAACGAAGCAAAAAAGCAAGAAACACATACAACATCTAAACTCCGATGAGCACTTCAGCACAAGGTAAGCAGGCTCCCTCAAAAGGGTGCCCCAGCCCAACCCTTGACCCATTTTTCAAAAGAAGGAAAGGCTGTGGCTATGCACTCTTAGTGAAACACTTAAGAGTCTTATAGATACTCCTTTGTTTTGAAATTCGGATGGCCTGAGGACTGGATATATCTGCACGCGGATGCATGCGCCCTCTTTTGGTTCCTGGCATTGATCTCGAGGGCCATGCCCAGAATGATTCTTGGGGTATCATCCGGTAGTCCATGGTAAGCAACCGTGCTGTCTTTCAGTTCCATTCTAGCTCACATACCAATTGAGCTAGAGATCATATCGAGTACTATCTTTTCGAAGTTGGCCCAGCCTCAATTTCGAGAATGGAACTTGTCCCAGGTGGACATCGATATGGGTGTTCAGGTTGGGTGGATGTTCGGACGTCGTGTAGACCTCGGACAGGCAGGTCTGGCTGTCACCAAACTCTTTCCACTGTGCAGCACTGCACTCCTGTACGATTTCCTGCCCTGTTGTCGGGTCATGCTCCGTCAAGTAGTGAGGCAGCCAGGGGAGGTTCGACAGTTGATTTGGAATCGGAGGAGTGGCAAGAAACATAGTCATGGTGAGTATGGTACTAGACCAACAATGCTTCTTCCTATCTCACTTGCTTACGCTTGCTATCACACACCCAACTATGGTGGCATCAGGTACATGCTCTTCAGCTATGCAGCCCATGGTGCTGGCGTTGTGAATCTTTACTCTGGACAGAAGAGTTGGTTTTAATGCTCCACCCTCCCATGACGAGTATAGGAGCAATCGATATGAAGAAATTTAAGACCAGCCTGACAGTCAGAAGCCGTTTCCAGAGCATTCGGACCGACCTGTGGACCACTCCACGGGGACTATGGGTGATTTCTAGGGATTTTATATAAGAATAAGACTGGAATGTCTAAATTTAAATGTTCAAATTGATATAAACGGCCTATAGCATGAATACCAAGTAGTAAGGAATGATTCTTAGTCTCAGGTGAAAACTCCTAACGAATGGCTCCTGGGCTTTACATATCATCTCAACGTCGATGTTCGCCTTTGCTCATGTATTCCTCAAACTCTAGATCCGGCTGCCCCTCCCAATAAAGTGTTTCGGGGTCACTCGAGTTTTCAAATGTATACCTCGCGCTCTCGTCAGGGATAAGAATTTTCTGAAGTCCATTTGCCGCCGCAGCCTCGGCAAGTAGCTGACACTGACAAGCGCGCTCCATGAGGGTCATCAAGAAGCATGCCTCTGACACTGTTGATCCTACTGTCAGAAGACCGTGATTTTGCAGTATCATGCCCTTGCCTTTCGGTCCTGTCCAATTACAGTATTAGTCAGAATAAATGACACATCATCAGGGAACGGCCAATGTACCTAGAGCAGCACCGATCCGATTGCCTTCTTCCTCAGTAAGCACAACACCTCCGAAATCCTAATATCATTTAGTATGGTGAACGAGAGATCAGGGAGGTGTCAGTACTTGGTAAACTGCTTGCGCGTCACCATAGAGGTAAGCAGCATCCTGGGTCAACATCTCCAGAGGTCGCCCGAAAGCACTCCATGCCATCCCATGGGGACTATGAGTATGACATGCCACGTTGACATCCGGTCGAGCCTTGTGCACCGCACTGTGAATAAGAAAGCCTGCAGCGTTTGCTGGGCGACTCATGTTTCCTAAAAATCAAGGTTTAGGGGGCAATAACAGTCACATTGGGTAAAGGGATAGTGTACCACCGATGGGCATGCCCTCGTAGTTGACAAGAATCATGTCGCTCGCCTTTAGTACCGCAAAGTGCACTGCCAATGGATTCTGGGAACATCAGCTGGTTGCCTCCTTGACTATATTGGCTGAGATTGTTCTTACGGTCCAAAACGTGTGGGGGTTTTCAGGGTCCCGAACAGAAATGTGGCCAGCCATCCCGTCCGTATAGTCTTTTCTTGCGAAGACGCGGAAAGCAAGTGCCATTTGTTCCAGTAACCATTGGCGGTGGGCCGTAAAGGTCGGGTGTCTAGGAATACCCGGAAGGCAAGCCCCTTGAGATATCAACTGAAGCGGGGTCTTCTTCTCTTCCTTAAGGGCATCTGGCTTCGTCTTTCGGGCCATGTCGAGCGTCTCCGTTTTCGCTGGGACCATTTTGCCGGATTCTGCGACGAAGAGATAGACGGTTTGGGGATTTTTTTTTAGGAGTGGAGAAATATGTCCTGTCTGAAAGCTTCAGGAAAGGGCATTCATGGATCCTCAAATAGGCCGAAACCCACTGGCTAAACAACCTGGACCTGCTATCAATGATGTATACAAGCGCGACGAGTGTGGGTTAGTTCCAAACCATGGCAGACACCAGTGCTCCACTGTCATTGGCTCCAGCGTATTGCTTTACCCCATTCAGTTTAGCGGAACTCTCGAAAAACGACACTAGTCCGTTCCGAGGCCCCCTTTGGGAAAGTGTGTACGAGAACTTAGCTTCAGCCTGCATAACCACTCCAGCTAATGGTCTTCCTTGTTGTCACCAACAAATGCATCGTTCGCCATCATTCCAATCACACACACCGTCACAAAATGAAGACGCGCCCAGATGTTGCGGTTCGTACAAACCTTACTAATCGGGTTAGAGCCGCCAGCCAGATAGACGTGTCTATCCACGAGCTTCGGAGTGATGGCTGCATACGACCGTAAATACATAAATGAATGGCCTCTCGCATACATTTGACCCAGAACAGCTCCGGGTAGTACCACCCTTTCTGTCGCCACCTTAATGTGCCTCCCTAACATGCAAGCTGCTCAAAAGCTCCAACTTCGGACTGTCCTTGGATGCGGGCGAGATAGACTATCGAGCCGTCGATTGCTCTCAACGTCACGACGCTTGTCACTAGCTCAGCTCGTGAACACTGGGAATTATAGGCCAGATGCTCTGCATGTGAGTGGGTGATTACATCCAGTGTGCGAGACCAAGACTGACAGGTTGTGCCGAAGCCACGATCAAGACCGAGAGGCTCAGTGGTGGACGGCTACTTTCACCAACCCTGTTCCTGGAAGCATACGGGAAAGGTGGTGAATAAAGTTCAGACAGCACATCCGATCGAAAGACAGCCATCAAGGGTTTCCGTCCCGGTAGATGGCGAGTTGGCTGAATTCTCGGCGGTACTACTGCGTGATTCATGTGCATGCCCGCTATGCGTGCACGAGTCCACCAAACAGAGACTATTTTCTGTTGCCGACATACCTGCTGATACCCATGCCAGAGCGGTTGAGGTTGATTCTCCTTCGGACTCAGTGAGAATCGCGTGGGAGAAGGATGTCCCAGGATACAATAACGAGCACATTACAACACTGAGTATGGAAGCCGTGCGGAGTATGGTGCAATCCGGCCGGGCTCCGGGGTCTCATACAGACTCCTTCCCGCCCCCAGTGCTGTGGAGCAAAGAGCCTCTCAATCTGCCAGACTATGACTATGACACCTATATGAAGGACGATAAAACGCTGTATCAACTCATCAGACAACTACGTACTGAGGGACTAGCTTTTGTTACTAATGTCCCCGGTCTGACAGAATCTCTCGCCACCATCGCAACTCGGATTGGACCGGTGAAGGATACATTTTATGGCCACACTTGGGATGGTAGGTCTCTATATCGTCCCTCCCGGTGCTCAACTAATTCGTTAACTACAGTGCGGACTGTTCCGGCGGCGATTAATGCCGCTTACACTTCGCATGATTTGGGGTTCCACACGGACTTGCTCTACTTCCAGAATCCACCGCATGTCCAACTTCTTCACTGTATCCAGTCTGCGTCTTCAGGAGGAGCTAGCGTGTTTGCTGATGCGTTCAAGGCGGCGGTCGACTTGTTTCACACAGACAAAGACGCATTCAATACCCTTGCCACCGTCCCTGTGAACTACCACTATAATCATCCGGATTCGAATGTGTATCACACCACCAAGCCTGTCATTGACCTGGGTCCCCTTCGTCTGAGTGATACGGTATATACAAATGCCAACGACTATCTGGAGGCAATGGAAAGCCGCCAGGGCGGGAGTTCGGGTTCTGAGAAGAAGGCCATGCTGGTCCAATGCCTGCAGAAGATCAACTGGGGTCCTCCATTTCTCGCACCCTTTTCCAACCACGAAGGTCCCACGAATCAGCCTGCTCTTTCGGCGTTGAATAGCAAAGTCGATGAATGGCATGAAGCGGCCTCCAAATTCAATGCCCTGTTACACGCCCGGAGTATCTGTACGAGCGTAAGATGAACCCGGGAGAGTGCGTGTTATTTGACAACACAAGGACACTGCACTCCCGAAGAGCCTTCGATATGGCTGATGTGGGAAAGCCAAGATGGCTGAGGGGAACCTACGTGGACAAAGATCCTTATCTCAGCAAACTGCGTGTGTTACAGAACAAGTTTAGCTAGCCGGAAGGGAGGTTAATTTTCGGCAACATGTTCATAAGCAGAGGGTGTTGAAGCTGTCCCAGATAGACCACAAGGCTAAAAGGAGATCCTCTATTTCGTGTGAAGACTTTAGCATGATAGAGTCGATAGAGCGTACAAGACAATGGCCTCTAGGCTACCAACCAGCAACAATGCCGTCACGGGCCTTATGCAGCCCAACGAGGGTATCCACACTGGCTAAGGCTCACCGGCCCTTTCTGCGGTCGGTTCTTGCTGCCTGTGCAGTTATCAGTGAACAGTAGTTGACATGCGGTGGTCACGTGGCGCCTAGGCATTGAAGCCGAAGTAAGGGTGCGGGGCTTTTCAATCGTCAAGACGCCATCTTCAGAATCAGCCGGACTGGATTGTCTCGGGGAGAGGCTGTCGGCAAAAGAACCTCAATGAACCGTATAAACAAGCGAACCCGTACCAAGGCGCCAAAATCTCGACTGGGCTGTTCGCGGTGCAAGAGTAGACGGGTGAGTCACGATAGTGGTGTGAGAGAGGCGCTCGCTATTCGGAATTCTGACTCCATCAGATTAAGTGCGATGAGACCCGGCCGGCGTGTCAAAACTGTATAAAAATTGGGTGCTCGTGCCCTGGATTCCAACAGGTATTGCGTTGGTCAACAAAGTACGAGCGGTCTCAAAAGACATGCTCAAGAGAAACGCCTGCCGATCAGTCGAGGGGGCTTGGCAGCCTGCTATCTGAAGACCAAACAGATGAGGGTGAGGATAGCAGCCAAATGAGCCAATGGATCAACACTGCAAGCACCTCGAATGCTTCACGCGACGCACTTGATGACTTGGCTGTTGACCCTAGTCTTGCCCGGCTTCCTACACCTCTTCAAACCACCGCCGTTGATTCCAGCGTGCGTCCAGATGCCAATGATACGTGGGACACAAGTGTCAACCCAGCCTCTGGCATTCCAGGCTCACAGTATAGAGTGAATGCCACACGGAGCTCGAAGATTTTGCAGGCTCCTGCCCATCTACCAACGGAACTGATTGAACATTGGTTTTGTCATGTTTGCCCCATGTGGTCTACATTTGACTCTGACACTAGTTACAATCGCCAACTGGCTTGGAACTCATGGAGCACATCGAAGGCTGTTTTCTATACAATACAAGCGATGTCTGCCGCCCGCCTTTCGGTCAGCACGCCACAGCTTCGGTACATCGAGCGGTCGCTGAGGTCCCAGGCTGTCGTGGCCATTGATGAGGCGATTTTTCTCCTGCGCAATTCACAGTCACCAAAAGTGACACCTGAACTTGTCTACGCGGTTTTTATATTAGGCAATTCGTGGAATTGCACCACGTCGACCGTGTCAAACTATCCATGGCTGGAGTCTGCCCGCGAATTACTTTCCATATGGGGAACACAACTATCCTGCTCAGACACAGCATTGCATGCGTACTTTAGCCAAGCCTTGAGTTACTGGGAAATGCTCCTGGCCGCAGCAGGGCGCGGTTCAGTCCCTTTGAAATTGGAGAGCAAGAGGCGACAATACCATGTCAGGCTTTACCAAGGGCTGCAACTCTCAGGTTCCCACGCGAATGCTGCTCCCTCCGAGGTATTACCAGATGGTCCAGAGCAAAGCCTCCTGGGGACCAGACCCAACTCATGGTCCGGCATTTCCAACGAGGTTATTGATGTTTTTGGTCAGGTTTTGGCGCTGTGTTATAATATGAGTCGCCACAGCAAGAGCACAGGAAGCTTCACGACTGTCATGGCGAGCGAAATGCTCTGTGACTTGTCTATAGCGCACGACTTACAAAGACAGCTATTGGCTATGGATTTTGAGACCCTCGTTCTCATGGACGAAACCCAAGGGTTTCCCGTCCAGACGGGGGACGACAATACGCCTGTCGGTCATCTGTTACAAACCGCAGAAGCATATCGACAAGCTGCCTTGTTACAATTACACCTTGCGTTCAGTGATCTTCCGATGGTATCACGAGCAGCGTATCACGGCTCCGCAGGGACATTACCTACCGACGGGACAGAAAGTACGGATGAGAACCAGCAATCTCGAACACCGTATCTCCTGTCATTGACCCTAGACCTTGTTACCCTACTCCATCAAATACCTCCACAATCGGGCTCGAGGTCCATCCATCTGATGTTATATCTTTCCGCAGCCACGGGCCTCAGATTTGAAACTATGTTGGAGCCGGGGCCTATCCCAAACGCGGATAGCGATAGTCAAGGAGTGTATCCATCCTCTGACCCCCTGTTAGATTTTTCCATTCAGGAAACTAACTTGTGCTCGTCGGACTTATTAAACTTGGAATTTCCACCAACTATTGATCAGGAACTCGATATGAGAGATACCACGGATACAGTCATCCCACGGTCTACTATGGAGGTATCCAGATCAAGAGACCTTGTCTTAACGCGACTCAGTAGTCTCCAACAGACGCTACCGCATAGACGAATAGAGGAAACAGTACAGTTCGTGAAAGACATATGGAGGCAGTATGATAATCAGGAGTCACAATGCCTTAGTATTGCCCATTGGCTGCATACTATCGCGGAAAAAGGTTTAGTTGTAACGTTATGGTAACTTCTGTGAACAATGCTCGACTTAGAGCAGGATGTAGAAGCATCTTACAGGTTATTCCTATAAAGATCGACTTTATTACCATGTACGACTAGTTCTAGATATACCTTCTATTACTCTCCATCCACTGGCGACAGCCGGTCCTCTACAAGCCCAAGTTTTGTGAGGGCGGCAATTAAATCCTTTAGCTTGCCAGACACCAACTCTAGGGAAAGCGTCCTGGGGCCATTAGAGCTCAAACACGTCCCCATCATTTGGTGGATCAGCTCGAAATATAAACCTCATAGATCGCATGAAAACAGTACACGTCAAGAATGAGAAATTATACTCTAAGCATACACCCTAGGGGGGAGACAACCAAAAAGAGGGAACAGAATACATATATCCATGCTAGTATACTACTAGGTAACATCAAGGACTTGTCAAAATTAGGGCGCGACAAGAGCCAAGAAATCTAATCACCAAATAACTAACGACGACTCAATGAGTCAAAAGCGCCCATCTAATCCAACAACAACTGTTCGTATTCATGCAACCTCGTATTCGACCACGACAGGGAGACCGCTCAACTCCATTAGTCCAGCCTGAGACTACTACTACCTACTATATAACATCAAACCAATCCAGGCACAACCCCAACTCCAGACAAACATATTCTCGCTTTGATATAATCTACGTATCTATATTCCCAAACCAAACCAAGACAGGAAACACAAACCCATCCCAAACATCCAGCACACCAAAAATGCCAGCCGACACCATCCAAATCCGCCGTATAACACCCCCCGACATCCCGCAGATGGCCCGGCTGGCCTCCACAGCCTACTTCAACTCCCCCCTCAGCCAATTCCTCAGTCCATATCGCCAGACCTACCCCGGAGACTTCACCCGCCGCTTCCTCCACATGATGCGCGCCCGCTACTTCAACCCCCGGTGCATCGGCTTCGTCGCCGTCCCCGTCTCCGACCCGGCCACACCAGTGGCCTATGCGCAGTTCATCCGCCTGGGCGACGACAAAGCCGCAAAGGCGCTCATCGCAGCGCAGAGCTCGATCTGGAATACGCTGCGCCGGTGGTGCGTGGCAGTCCGGACGTGGATTGAGACTCTGGTGTGGCCGGATCGGTCCGGGGATGCGGAAGCAGTGGCCGAGTTTGACAAGGCGGTTGAGGATGATAATCTGCGGTATTGGGAGTCGCCGCAGATGAAGGGCTTGTATGGGGAGAGGTGGCATGCGCAGAGCGTGGTTGTCTCTGGGGACTGGAGGCGCAGGGGCATTGGGAGGCGGTTGATGGGGGAGGTGTTGCGGCGGGCGCAGGAGGAGGGAGTCGTTGTTGGACTCGAGGCGAGTGAAGATGGGGAACGGCTGTATCGGAGCTTGGGGTTTGAGTTGAGGGGGAGGTTTTGTATGGCTCTGGGGGATGAGGATGGGGATGTGGGGGGGATTATGATGTGGAGGCCTGACGGGGGTTTGGATTGATTTCTGGGACTATGTTCGCTGGATATATGTGTTATGTTGTGTGTTGTAGGTAAGGGTTTGGATGTATGTAGTATGGAAGTGAAGAGAAAATACATCATATACAGTAACGGAATACCGGCCAATCACCACATCTTCTCCCACATCCGTCTCGCCCAGTGCATCTGTGCCAGCTCGGCCTTGCGGCGCTCTTCAAACCCACCATCCTCCCAGATGCGACATTCGGCGTCAATCTCAGCTTTCCCACTGTAGATGTCTGCCTTTGCGGGGTCGACGAACTCAGTCTTGTGGTATACCTTCCAGAACAAGAACATGACTACGAAGAACGCCAGTCCAAAGTATGAGGTGACGAACCCCTGGACGCTGAACGGCGAGAACACGCTGAACCCATTGAACAGCGTGATCAGACTACCGATCGTCACGGCCACGATAGCAAAGTACGGCTGGCAGGGCGCGACCCAGGGCAGCGCCGTCTTTCGGTCGACGCCTTGGGCCTTGAGAGCGCGGTACCATCCAAGGAAGACGCAGGCCATGCTGGTGTAGGTGATGATCAAGGCGCAGGTGGTCAGGTCAATGAACCAGTAGAGAACGGTGACGGCGGAAGTGTCCGCGACGAGGAAGGAGATGCAGGACAGAAGCGACACGGTGATGACACAGTAGATTGGAACGCCGGCCGAATTGCACTTGAGCAGGAATTTCGGGGCCTGGCCGTCTCGTGCGAGCGAGTACAGGGTTCGACTGGAGCTGTAGACATAGGCATTGCCGCAGGACCACCCCGAGAGGAGAATCAATACGTTGATCAGGTCCGGGAGCCCGTGGATACCCAGGTTCTGGATTCCGATGACCCAGGGAGATGCATTCGATCCGGCTGCACCGGAGTCGATGGCAGAGAGGAGACGAGGATCTTGTGGAGAGCAGATGATACCTACTGCGAGTACTCCAACCACGTAGAAGCCGACGATTCGGTAAAAGGTCATTTTGACGACACGGGGGATGGTCCAGCGTGGATTCTGGATCTCTCCTGCTGCCAAGGCTGGTAGATCTGGGCCGGCCACTGAGAACGCCGCATATACCATGACGGAAAAGAACCCGAGGAATCGTCCTGTCGCGCCGTCGGTATAGTATTCGTACATCACCCCGTGAGTCCAGTTCCGGAATCCATACACATCGTGTTTCGGATTACCGCCGACCATGGTAATGAAGGTGAGCATCACGAGTCCGATCAACAGGAGAATCTTGGTGGAGGCCATGAGGAACTCGCTCTCTCCGTACCACTTCACCGCGACGATATTGAGCAGGAAGCAAACAACCAGCGCCATGGCGACCCAGGCTGCAGGGTTGACACTAGTAGTCCAGTATTGCATCACAGTGGCCACGGCAGAGTATTCCGTACAGACAAGCATTAAGCCGCCATAGAAATAGACCCAGCCCCTGATGGATATGTTAGTAACCAGCTACCAAAGGAATTTAAGAAACATACATTGCGAATCCAAAAGCGGGATCGACATATCTAGCCGCCAGTTCGAAGATGGAACCTCGAATCGGCAAGTACGCACACATCTCTCCAACACAAAGATTGACAGGCCAGACGAACAGAATCCCATAGAACATGTAGCCCAAAAACACAGACAAAGGGCCTGTATCGCGCAGATACGACCCTATACCCACAAAAAGACCGGTTCCGATAGAGCCACCGATCGCCATCAACTGCACTTGTCGGGAAGAGAGACCACGCTGGGTCTCTTGATACTGGGTCACGGTTCCATGACCGGTCTCCTCTTTGGAGACCTGATGGTCCTCTATAACACTCTTCTTATCCATGTTGCCTTCGGACTCTGGAGCGGAGGGGACAATGTGCAGGGGACATCTTGAGTTTAAATGTAACACGACCGGACAAAAGGCAGAAGTACTGCTTGCCGTGCGGGGAGGAAGAAAAGGAGCTGATAATGATAACGACAAGTCCTATCGATGCTGGTATGATCCAGTCTATGTCTACTCCAGCTGGCCAAGATCAAAGTTGAAACTAGTGAGCTTTAACGTGGGAATTAAGCATAACGTTGATAAGAAACGTCTCTTCCTCAGCTTGCACGAGCGGTGCTTGTCCGATTAGTGATACCCGAAAAGGGAGGAGATGGCGATGCCAATGTTTTGCCAAGTGATAAGCTTATCGGAAAGGAAATTGATTGCCGTCGGACGGGTTGCTTAACCTATCGTTTACTTGAGAATAATTGGGTATCAGGCCACGAGAGTTCAACTAAGATACGACACCAACGAGGGCTCGAGGGTACACATGACCCATCCCCGCTTCTGGGATAGCTTCAAGTTGGAAGGCGTTGCAAATGCGGGGAGATGCAGCTCATGTTGCATTGGGTTCCGCACACGACGAGATCGGCGACCCTGTGCAGAGCTCCTGGCAACACAACCACGTTTCCCCCTCTCTTGCCTGAGCTGATCATGAACAATGCTTTGACAATGGTCAACCGGGATAAATCATAGCCCGACTTTGTCCTACACCGGCCTGGCTAATGCACCCATCAGTTCGTAACCACGGATTACAAGCACACCTCGATGGGAGACAAATGAAAGTAACATTTGATGCTGCTCTGTCGCCCGACTGCCAAATCATCATGCTGGGTGATCTCGTCACCGAGTCTATTATGCATTTCAGGCAAAAACCATCCAGATGAACAACATACAACGATGCAGGATATCAACGAAACATGAACCTATGCCCTAAACATTTTCGCTCTGACCGGTGCGCAGCCTTCCTCGTATCAAACAAAATATTATCCGAACTCCTGTGGTATTATCATAACAAGACACGAGCCTGTCACCTTCCATCGGCCCGATACTGAACTGCGGAATCGGGCGCCTCCAGCTCGGTGGGTGGTACATTTCTTGGCGGCGGTGACTGTGGCATAGGCTGGAACATCGACTGATCCCAGCCGTATTGTCCTTGCCCTGATACGTACGTGCGATTGGCGAGATCCGGGCTCGGCATATACGTCGCCTGGTCGCCGGGAGGCTGTGTGCTATCGAAGTCACTCTTGCGTTCCCCGTGGCTGTTGAACAGAGCCCAGCGCGCGGTCCGCTCCGTGGTCCCATCCTGCGATGTCATCCACTTCTTGTAGACCTGGTTCCGGCCCATGACGAAGAAAAATGCCACGAGCAGTCCGATGAATGCGACAGCTCCAACGACTATCCCGGCTATGGCGCCGCCGCTGAGGTGACTTCCGGACGAGGATGGGGAAGGGGTGGAGGTCGCTGATGGGTTGGGACTCTCTCCTTCAGCCGGGATGTGCTCCCACGGTTCAAGCTGGTAGGGGTAGTTGATCGCTTTCTTGTTTTGATGCTCCCATGTCATGTTTGCGGTCTGCCTGTTTGTCAGCAAAGAGGGTTACAATTGAGTACCATGAGCACTGACTGGATTGATCACCCCGACCATCCCATTCTTGTTGCATGAGCCGATGGCGGTACAGTAGAAGAATGTAGCTGGGTGGAACGCCATTAGCACGTGCGATTTAAGACCTTTCGCAAGTTGAGCTTACCTTAGTATCGTTCACGACCAACGACCATGTGGGTGGCTAAGTGATATCAGTAATCGAAGCGGTGTTCTCTGTCGGATGTGAACCCACCGGTCCTATCATCTGTCCATCTTCTTCGTTGAATTTGTTGAAATGGCCGGAGTAGAAGACGGGGCCACTGCTCTGGGCAGGCACACATGGTGCGTCGTAGTCTGCTCTTACTACTGAATGGTTTCGCGGATAAAATTCGAAGACAATCACGTCGCCGACAGATGCGTTGACGCTACTGGGTACATACTGGTGAGGGTCACTCCTCGGTCCAACCTGGATCGTATGTGTTGCGGCTCCTTTCGACGACGTTTGAGTCGCTGTAGCACTTGCCTCCGTTGTAGTTGTCTGTGCGGACACCCCCAGTTGTAAAGAAGCGATAGTTATCAACAGCCATGTCATCCGATGAATGAGCGACATTTTTGGCATCTGGGGATGAAACGGGGAGGGCTTCATGCGCTCAAGCTGGCATAGTAGACGATAAGGGAGGAGGGAGAAGGAGCCAGCGAGGCAATGAGAAGAAGAAAGGCCCTGAAGAGTGGGTGGCCCTACAAACGGAGGAAGCTTACGGCGAGGATGCAGGGTGGCTGCAATGCCAGCCATGACGCAGAACCATTCTCCTCTATTGGTTACATTTCCCAAGACTTTGGGACAAAGGCTGAGTTGGTCCAACCATCATAGACGAGCGAACCATAGGGAACAAAGATGACAGCGGAACTTAAACTAGAAGGGGTAAATTTGCTGCTATCTCGCGAGGGTGTACAGCATGGATGGGCAGTTGGTAGTTCCACCCGGGAGGACAATAATGTCTTTTCTTAGTAATTGGTGCAGTGGGCAATGCTAAACCCAACCATCTGCGAGGATGCACGATCAACAGGGCGCCATCCAGGCCGAATCGATACGTGCACCTATTTATATTCACCGGTACCAATCTTGCTGCGAGACTTGGGTGAGGATGGATATAGGGTACAAGCCCTGAGCAACAAACATGTAAAATGCCTCTCATCCGAGAGCACTGGATTAAAGCATGGGAACCTGTTCTCTGAATCAGTATACTTTGCAACCACGGTTCCAGGGAAAAGTTTACCAAGATTCCTTTGAGCCTCGCTGACGCCCCGACCCACTACTTGAACCATCGGGAGGTCTTGGCCAACAAACCAACAAAGAGGCGATGCAACCTGCGCCTGTCACGTTCTCGTGGGATACGAGGTTTGTTGTCACTAGAGTTGCGGGCTCCATAATTAAGGGCTTTTTCTGTGGTGCCCTGTTTCCTGGTCGTGGGCGAACCAATGGTATCAATACGAGGGACCAGGGGGCCTTAGCCACTTGGGTAGTAAGTGTTGCCCAAGCCAGTTCCTCTGCCTCGGACACTCCGAACATTCATTTATCATCGGTCGTGACCCTCACTCATGGTTCCGATCCTCGAACCCCTGATGTTGCTCTCATCCTGTGTCAAGTTCCAATCTGGTATCCTCGTGGGGAATACTCCATACCCCCCCCGAGCGATCGATCTTCCCCGGACACCAGATGGCCCACAGTGGGATACTCCTAATTAATTTCGATGATGCCATCTGCTCGGGTGAATCTAGACTGGAGTACTATCCTTATCTAGGAAATGCTTCATTTACACATGCCCCCGCACGTCCTCATTTCCTGCTCTGGTCCGCGATGTACCCCTGCAGGATTACATAGCTTCTCACATGCTAGAAGTCTTCGCCTGCTGGAATGCCGAGATACAAGAATTTACCCTGAATGTAGATAAATACTAGCGATCGCTTCACCATAATAGGGGGAAGCCCAACGTTCTGGAACCTGCAGCCCACCACCATGAAGCTGTACCTCCTGTTCTTCTTCTTCCTCACCCTCCACGCCCTGCCCGGTGTGCCACGGGCAGCGGCGGACAAATCGCCGTTCTTTCTCCTGGCAGGAGACAGCACCACAGCGGTTCAAACGACGAACGGAGGGGGTTGGGGCAATGGATTCATCCAGACGACTTTGTCCAAGGGAGCCAAAGGCCAGAACTACGGCCGCAACGGAGCCACAACCGTCAGCTTCCGCACCAGAGGGGACTGGGACACCCTCCTCAAGAAGCTTCAGGAGGTGAAAGCCGATTATCAGCCTACGTGACCATCCAATTCGGCCACAACGATCAGAAGCCGAAAGCCAATATCACCATCGCAGACTACACGAGCAACCTGGAGACTTTCGTCGGAGAGGTGCGGAATGCGGGGGGCGTCCCCATCCTAGTGACTCCACTTGCTCGGCGCCAGTATGATAATTCTACCGGAGTGCCCACTATTATCCGGAGCCTGGAAAACGAGCGGGTCGCGACGATCAAGGCCGCGAAGAAGACGGGAGCGTCGTATATTGACCTGAACCGCGCCAGCACGCTGTACCTGAATAGTATTGGGCCGGTCAGTGCGCACATGTACGATTTGAAAGCGGGTGACTCGACGCATTTGAACGCGGCTGGGAGTCAAGTCTTCGGGGGAATGGTCGCGGGCTTGATCATCCAGGATTTCCCCCAATTGGGTGACGCGGGGTTTATCCATGTGGATCCGAAATTACAGACGGCGCTGGACAAGGGCCAATACTATTGGCCACAGTAAGCGTGATTTTTCTGTACTCTTAGAGGCACATTAGGGGATGTGATTTGATAGATTGTAATTAGTAATTAGGGCTGCGGGTGGATGTGGGTTGCTGCTAATTTTGCCGCTTTGGGTAATTTAATCAACGACCTGAAGTTCGGTCCGACTTTCCGCTGCACTGCTTTGCTGTTCAAGAATATATAGCTTCGTTGGGGGATCCTGTTCACTGCTGGATGTGAGTCGCAGCTTTGGCATTGCTCGCCATGGAGTCCCTCCAAGTAAGCGCTCTGGAGCCAGAACCGGAGCAGACCCCAAGACTGCTCCTGAAGCTCATCAGTGCTGGTTTTGCGTTTTACGTGGCGGGCGTCAATGATGGGAGCTTGGGATCGCTGATTCCGTACATTCGAGAAGCCTACGACATAGACACGAATATGGTGTCTATAGTGTTAGTTCGCCCGCCATCTCTTCAGGTATGATACTAATGTTAGAATACAGGTATGGCACGACCTTTTGCGGTTGGCTCGTCGCCGCTCTCTCTAATAGCTATCTCAGCCAGTATCTGGACCTTGGCGTCTTTTTGGTCATGGGTGCGACGCTACAGGTCCTGGCCCATGCGCTAAGAGCCTGGCTGCCTCCATTGCCTCTGTTTGCTGTGACGTTTTTCATTGCTAGTCTTGGCCAAGCATACCAGGACACCTACGCGAACACGTTCGTGGCATCGGTGAAAGCGGCGCACCGATGGCTCGGGTTTATTCATGCGATGTATATGGCGGGATGTCTCACCGGACCCTTCATCGCCACGGCAGTAGCATCGGCAGGAGCACGGTCGCATTGGGAACTGTTCTACACGGCGCCTTTAGGGTTGGGCGTCATCAACTTTGTCCTTGTGGTTCTCGCGTTCCGGGAGTCGTTGACCTTCAAGCGTCATGTGCAGGGCGAGATGGGTTCCCAGGAAACAGGACATAAGGGTGCCATGCAAGAGATACAGAAGACTCTGGCGCAGCCGAGCGTGTGGATTCTGAGTTTGTATTTCTTCTTTTTCCTCGGCGCCGTTATCACTGCTGGAGGTAAGCTCTCCACCGTTTCGTCGCAGTACAAGTGCTGATAGTGTAGGCTGGATTGTGGAATACCTGGTCCACGTGCGCAATGGCGACCTCAAGGACATGGGATATGTCCCTGCCGGCTTTTACGGGGGCGGTTTCTTAGGCCGACTGATATTGGCTGAGCCGACCTATCGCCTGGGGGAGCGACGGATGGTGTTCATTTATTTGCTGCTCTGTGTGGGATTAGAACTGGTGTTCTGGCTGTGAGTTCAGATGAATCCTTTGCGCGACGATGCACTAATGTGACTAGTGTTCCGAACATCATTGCCGAAGCGGTAGCCATCAGTCTTCTTGGGTTCTTCTCAGGCCCTTTCTTTGCAACAGTAAGTTATCCCTGCGGGAGTTGCTAGTTGTCTCATTAACAACTTAGGGTATCTCGGTCGCATCGAAGATATTCACAGCGGATATTCGCTCAGCGGCAATTGGTATGTCGCCCCGATCCCTATATGTCTAGAGACGAAGCTAACAGCCAGCGATAGCATTCATCTTCGTCCTCGGTCAGGTCGGAGGGGCTATCTTCCCAGCTGTTACTGGTATTATGGCAGCGAAGGTTGGTGTATCAGTGCTGCAGCCTATGCTAGTCGGTCTGCTCGGCGCTACTGGTGTTTCCTGGCTGATGCTCCCCAAGTCTCGGTTGCATCACGATTGATGGACTAGAATATGTCAATTGAGACCTCTCTATTAAGACCAGATATTTATATTGAGCAAGTAAGCTTGGTATAAGCCATGAAGAACAGTGTAGAACATTACTTACTAGATTGACAACGCTTTCCGACTGGTTCCCTAGCCTCGTACAACAATACAGCGATTGCAAAACTGGCGAAGGAACATCTGGACAAGGATGGAATAGTTATGGATCCATATATTCCAAGCCACTCCAGCTTATACGAGATCTTCACGGTCTATACCTGATGGGGGATAGGCTGACCATGGAATGGCAGTCAGCCTTAATTGCCCGGCCTCAAACTCAGCCACTTTGTATATCCCGTCAGATGACGTTGCCTTTGCTAAGATTTACGACAGTAGTTACTTTATATTGTTGAACATTCCCCAGTGCACATCTTGACTTCAACTACATGTAAACAAGAACACAACATGCCCCAAACTGCGAAGACCGGCAACGAGAACATCAATATCGACCTCGCCTCCCCCCCCGGCTGGACATATGTCGGGGGGGATACCGTCATCGGCAATGTGGTCCGCCGTTCACATATTGTCACCCCCGATGCAATGGTGACCCTCACACTGATCGGACGCGTGAAAACAAAGATTACGGTGAAGAGGAATAATGGCCAAACGACCAGCACCAGCCATTACCGCGGTCGCTGGCAGCTATTCCACACATCGCGAGAGACCCTCTTCCACGGACCCTTACATCTCCCCAGGAGCAGTGTGAACGACCCGCTTACATGGCCATTCTCAGTCGAGATCCCCACACGGCCATCGGGTCAGGTGCTGCAGGGACACTTTATCGAAGAGAGTTACCTGCCATTGGATAAAGAGAGCCTTATCCACAGCACATTGCCCGCAAGCTTTTCCTCCAGTGGTCGCGGCTGGCGTACCTCCTCTGAGGCCTTCGTGGAATACTACCTCGAGGCTCGGCTGATATATGGTCGCTCCGGGTCGTCGGAGGTTGAAACAGCGACTTTTCCTATCACAATTCGACATGCCCCGCAACCCGGGATTTTCAACTATGACCTTCAGTCGCGCGTGCTCGCGGGAAGGGCCAAGAGTCAGCGGCTACTGCCGGGCATGGAGCATGCGGAGCTATCCCTGAAGCAAAAGACGCAAAAGCTCTTCGGTTCATCCAAAGTGCCGGAGTTCCACTATACCGTTGAGGTCAATTGGCCTTGCGCTATTCAGCTCGACAACCCAACACCTGTCCCGATTATTATTGGCGTCAAGCCTTCCAGCGCAAGTCCCGAGATCAGCGACGTCGCCCAGAAGGTTCAGTTAAACTGGGTCAACATGACCATTAAGTCCAAGACTATGGTGCAAGCACCAGGAAACCTCACCCCGAAACATACTCATAGCCACTCTCATTCCTCCTCTCATCCCATTGGCTTGAAGCGGGCGTTTTCGAGGCTTGAGAGCCTATTGTCTTTACTACGGGAAAAGGGAACGAGCCGGTTGACATTGGTAGTATGTTTCGACTTCTCTTTCATTCTGATGGTTCCACCGTTGGGGGTCTACGTAGCACTACTTACATGGGCCCCTCCCCTGACTTTGTTACGTATAACATTCTGCACAGGAACGAATTGGAACTGGAGGTCTCATTGACTGTTGCAGAAGAAACTAAGGAGTTCAAAGTAAGCTCAGGGCTGAGGATACTCGCAGCGGAGTGAAGTGAGATGTTTTTTGTTTTTTGCGTGGAAGTACTGTACATAGATATACCCAAATGCTGCTTATTAGTTAATTGACGAGCCATATAAATATATTGAGACGTGTCCCGCTTACCTTGGCGCATAAAGTCTAACGTAATCATGAGACAGATCCCCTATTTCCCTTTCCTTTTTATCTGATCCCTCTCGCCATTTGGGTGATCCTTGCATATACTACGAAGTCAACCTACTCTCAAGATCCATACAAAATGATACAAACCTCAACAAATCAATCATTCCTATGCAAATAATGTCAAGTAATAACAGTCTCAACAGGCTTCTCCCCCATCTTACCCTCTTCCAACGGACCAACCCCCAATTCAAATCCCAAACCTAACGCTATGCCATAACCAACCTACAAAACCTGTACTCGAGGCCCCGTAACCCCAATATCCCACCTGATCGACACCTCATCATTAACGCCCACAAACTCGAACCCTATCATCTGCCCAGCGGGACAATCAAACTTCGGATACCCCTGGTAAGCCAACACCCAGTCCGCGGTGCCAGGCACGGGAACATAAATCCGGCCGGCGTGCTCGTTCCTCGACTGGACGATCACATCGGCGACCTGCTTCGACACGGACTGCAGCGAGGCGCCCGAGTCAGAAGCACTCACACTGGCACCGGTGGGCTTCGTGGCAGTGAACACGTCAGCCTGCTGTGAGCCGGTGGAGACGTCGCGCGGCCAGAGGTCAAACAGGAGCTCGCATTTGTGGCCTTCGGCGGTGGCAGGAATGTCGAAGGTCACGATGCTGGTGGTTTCGTCTGCTGCGTTGCCGTTTTTGACGACCAGGAGTTGGTCCTGCGGGTCCAGCACCCAGTTGCCGGTTTGTACCCAGTAGCGGTAGGTTGCGTACGGCCAGAGGAGGGCGTTCTGCCGGGGGGTTGGGGTTGCGGTGGTCAGGGTGGTGAGGACGGTCAGGGTTAGGATGAGGAGGTTCATTTTGATTGGTGTAGTATGGATATTGCACTGTATGCTTGGGCTATGTAGCGGGATAGAATGCTTTGCTTGTTGATTGTTGTGCTCTGTATGTTCTGATGTCTGGATGTGCTGAACTGAATCAACGCCCATATTTATAAATTATAACCCCCCCCCCCCCCTCAACCTTCACCGATACCAACACAACAACAACACAACCATTCATCAAATGATGATATATCACGACTCCTGACGCGACCTCGTACTCGGACCATGGATGCAAGCTTCCCATTGCTGCTGTTTCTCTCATCGCCCCATTAACTTTCGCCAAGCGAGATCCTCGTATTTACCTCTCGCCGCAACGGTCGCCAGCGACGAGGTGACGTCCAGCGGATCCCATATCCGAGACAGCCCAGCATGACAGATGGCATTCCGTCCATTGACGCAATTTCCATATGACGATGCAATGTTGGCATGTCAATTCATTGGCGCATGGTCTGTCTTCACAGGGGACATTGAGAACCCGGGCGTTGTCCGATTGGATATCCTCCGCCCCGGGTCATGACATCTCAGATCCGCGATCCTGGCGAATCATATCCTGAGATATATATAGATGGGTTGTGAAGTTAGAATAAGGCCCATCGGTGGCTGGAAGGGCGTCGATTGTTGGCTTGGCCTAACTCGGATAATTGGATGTGTTTCGGGTGCTGCGGTGTGGCGTTATCCGGGGGTGTCCGTCCTATTCCCTATAGGGTGCTTGGTCATGGTGCGGGCTCTTCGTGTATGTTTTCTTGTTGTCGGATGGAATGGTCAAATCCTGTTCGAGGTCGTGATGTAGTATCCCGCGACGTGGTCTTGGTTTGGACAGGTCATTCTTGGGAGGTAGGGAGTCGAAGGAGCTGGTCCTGGTCCTGGGAGTGACTCCCCTCGTGGCAGGAGTGAGAGGTAATATGTCCCATGACGAGCTGTGGAGCCAAGGTTCGGTCATTCGAGTCGGAAGGGACTCTGGTATAGGCGTGACATCCCCCGTAATAGCTCACGAGACTTGGGGTTATAGAGTTGTTACTTTATGAGCTTTGTAACCCGATCTTGCTTGGCATAGACCGTTGAATTTGGCACGCACATCAACTTTACCGGGCTTTGTGTGATATAGTACCAGTTCCCATTACCCAATATACCTGGTCCTGATGTCCATGTTACAGTCCATATACGTCGTGCCAGTCTTGTCTACCGTACCTTTTCCATCTGAGTTAGTCATGCCATAATCCTAGACTAGAACAACTGGGACAAACGTAGATCTCCTACACGGGCAAAAAGACATCCCCTTTCAGCGTCCCCCTACAATAAACTACAATTATAGTTCTAGCTTTGAATATAAGCATACAAAGGGTGGCGGTAAATGCAACAAAAGAGATTCTGCGACAAAGTCTTCATTGTCATTTAATGCTAACAACAATACATCCTTTGTCCATGAACATGGACCATAACACATGTTCTTTGAATATTGATTCCAAAGAGACAACGACAGCTATAGCTCAAACAGATTCACACATGAGCGCCAATCTAGAGTGCTGCTATACTCCTATATATACACCTCTCGCGTCATACTTGGCTACAGGTCGAGAACACATGTCACACCTGATTCTCAGCGGCGGTTCTTTCAAGGACTATACAAACAAAGCCAAGATCACCAACAAGATAAACAACTAATGAGAGTCGTGCGTCAAATCCAGAATAGAAATATACCAATACCCTTCCACTCAGAACCACTCCCCTCAAACAACCGCAGCGGAAGCCAAAAATCCATGAAAAAGAAGACCCAAAATGGGACACCACTGGTCGGTCGACTACCAAAATACTCTGGCACGGAACAAGAGGCAAGCTAACACATAGCCCCCAGCACGATATGTAGAAAGGTATTGGGCAAGTGCTGCCTGAAAAACGGCCATTACGCGAGATGTGACACGTGCGGGGAGTATTTCCCGCCTAGTCGTCTGAAGGGGTGTCCGTATTGCGAGAATAGACAGAACAAAATAGATGAGCGGATGGAGAAGGATATAAGGAAGTGTTTGGATTTTGAGCTGGGTAGTGTTTTGCATTAGTATTATTGTACATGTTAAGATGCTACATAATCATGTGGTTATTAGAGTGGGGAGATGCGTATGCGTGCTGTGGATATTAATTTTCACCTTCCAACACCTTCTTGACCTCATCAGCGATGTTATAATTGAAGACAGCCTTCATCTCCTTGGCAAAGAACCGTGGAAACCACCCTTAGTCTGTCAGTAGTAGTTCCAACAAATGGCACGCAGGCTAGAGTTGAATTGGAAAGATAAAATACTCACCAAGAATCCATAGAAAGCTGTACATTATATATTCCTCGATAACGCTCATATCACGCTTGATATTTTGTCTTCGCTTGGCATCTTCAAGAATAGCCTGGACACGAGGGATACGCAGCTCCATATAGGGCTTAGCTGCGGTCGAGATCACTTCTTTTACATCAATATCAGGCTCATGAGCCTCATATTCTTTACGTAAATAGTGACTCAAAAAGAGAACAAACGCCTCGACATCCTCAAGCGCCTGCGACGAGCCCTGCCCCGAAGTAGAAGGCAATGCGTGAGCTGCATCACCGACGAGAACGACGCCATTTCGCTCCCAGGTCGGCAGAGGCGGCATCGTCCAGGTAGGATACATATTGCTGACCTCTAGTGAGTCGAGGACCTTCCGAATAACTGGGTCGTTCCAGCTCGAGTAGCGTTCTCGCAGTTGACGTGCGACATCCTCCTTGTCAATCGTTTTCGGGTTCGGACACTCATCGACTTGGTATGTTGACCACCAGCCAAGACTCTCGCCTGGTTCGGAGACATGATATGGCGAGTCCCTGTGAGGTGCCGATCGGGCACTGTCGGCGTAGAAGTAGCCAAAGAAGCCATTACCCCCGATGATGAAGTTCATTGAGCCTTTTTGAACGTCATCCTGGACTTTCTCGGCCGGAATGAACCCGCCGACTCCTGACAAGCCTCTGGTTATATTGCGTTAGCCAAGCTATTGCTGCGCCGGTGCACCCAACAGGAGACACATACTCATAATGGGGAGGAAACGGATCCTCCCCTGCCTCAGGGAACAACGCCCGTTTAACGATCCCCTTCAACCCATCCGCACCGATAACCAAATCCGCCTCCACTGGCAAACTGTCATCATCAAAGTGAACTACATTCCGGCCGTCCGGGCTCGCAACAACTTCCGCGACCCGTTTCGTCACAATATCGCAATCCGGAATGCGCATGCGGAGACACCGCCAGAACCAATGTCGGCTACACCCGACCGTATGCATGGGTAATTCATTCGGCGAGGTTGGCTCATCCGATGCGTCCATGCGTACGAGCAAACGTCCGTGTTTGTTCTTCATGTTGGATGTCGGGACTACATATCCGCCACGGACGATTTCACGGAGAAGATCCTCGTCCAGACGTTTTAGAACGTGGAGGCCATTCGGCCCAATACCCAGGCCGCCGCCTACGATAAGTGTCGAGGAGTGGGTTGGGCCATCACGTTCGTCGCAGGTGGTGTCCTTGTTGGTGTCGTAGGCTTCGTAGATGGCGATTTCGTGGTCCTGGTCTGGGGCGGGTGGTTTGGGGAGATGCTTTTTTAGTTGGAGGTATGCGGTACATCCGGAGATGCCTCCGCCGATAATTACTATTTTCATGACTGATGAAGATGTGCTAGCAGTATACGGTGTAATATGATTGTTGGAGGAAGTTTAGGTGTTTTAAGAAAGGCCGGTTAGTTGTTGCCTGGAGTTGGTGTCTTGATAGAAGGTTTTGGTCACATGGTTAGGTTTCCATGGATTGCCACAGGCTGAGCAAAGCAGCCCTTCGTTTTCCGGGCTGAAGTCCTAGCTAGGGAAAGTAAATAGATAAATATGATTGACCAATAACTAGAGATTATCTGACTCCAATGATATTGGGTATCTGCGAAATTTTCCAGCTATTTGTCCCGTTGCCCAGCCTTGCGTTTGCTTTTACGGGAACTTAGCTATGGGATGTGTTATAAGTTATTCAATATATAGTTCGTATGTCAATTTCACTGCTTGCACGCAATCAGAGAATGTTTGTGTGATACTGGACTGTAGAGGAAAATGTGCTCGATATTATTAGCAATGAACATAGAGGAAAGGCCTGTCAATCGATACCAGCATGTCTCGCTATTCATTATCTACTCTGAAACAACTATACCAAACTCACACAAGAGAGAAGTGAGATATCAGCAATGAAAGTAAGGGCAATGGCTGCAGTTGGAGGACGACAGAAATGGACCAACTTAGCAGGATTAAAAGATTAGTAGCACTCTACCGTGCTTACTATATGAGCGGTATAACTGGAAGACAAAGTGTCAATATACCTTTTGCCAAGGGCTGGCCTTTGATCGGGGCTCTTAATGCAGCCACGTGAATATTATCATCTAATTCTATTCTCCAGCTTCGAACTCCATGCCCCCATCACTCTCACACCGATCTCTCCAAACCGTCCTAAGAATGTTCCCACTCACATAAACATTCCTTGGTATGGCTTCACAAATCTCACAGCCCCAGGTAATTCCTTGTATTTTGCTAACCGCTGAGCAACATAAAGCTCCAGCTCAGCACGGGTAACCTTCTTTCTGGGCTTGAGCACAACATATGCCCAAGGACTCTTAGCCGCATCCGTCACCCTTGGATGGGATAGCATAATCATCTCTGTTAAAACTTAATTGATCCATTTTGCTTTGCTTTCGTGTGAACTTGGATACACCGCCGCTGGTAGTGTTTACTGTTGCTTACAAACGGATGTCCAACAGGTATGATACATTGTCCGTTGCTTGAGATTTATGGAACCTGGACTGATATAGGGCTCTGATAGAGCGGCCTGGTTAACCTAGACGTTGAGGCCCAATGCTTTTTTAACCGTGTTTTATAAGCTATTGCCCCTGTATTGTCCATCCAGCTTTTATTGTGCGTCAATGGCTTTCCAGATTATCAGATATGACCACTGGTTGACGGGAGTGGGGAGACAATGATGAGATGGCAACAGTTCAACGCGATCGCAATACGACCAAAGGAAAAAGACTGGCTGACTACGCCAAGCCTGCCATAATCCCTTGCAATATGGTTATTGCCTGAAATGAAGTGAACGTTGGGGACCGATCGTCAGACCTAACATTTATTCGTGTCAACCGTAGAATACCGCAGACCCGTGGTGAGTGATTATATTGATCGTATTCTAAAAAGCTAAACCAAGCCCTGTATACCAGCTGATATATTAATATATAGAGTGGTATTCCAGGAAGATAAATAAGTCTATATATTCGCTGATATATTAACGTCCTGACTCGCTTTCTTTTACGGGTTCTAGACTTCTGCTCTTCTGGGACGGGATCGAGAGATCTTCCGGGCCATCTTGGGGTGCTTTTCGACGATCTCTAACGTTGACGGTGAAGCTAAATCCTAGATTCATATTTAAAATGTTTCACGGTCGAGTGTGGTTCTAAGACTTTGGATAAAATACGTAATCATTCTTACACAGAAAGTTAAACGCGGGAGGAGGCAAGAGAAATGAAGAAAAATATAATTGGATCGCGAACAGCTTCTTAGTTGGCAGTCACAAGAGACATTCTCTACCGCAGCTTAGAGTGGCATTTGGCTACGCCCAGGGCCTCCTCGAATCCCCCCAACTAATCGAGAGGAACCTCTAGACCGCTGCTTCCATTGGTCCAGCCACACGCCGACAAACCGCAGAACCTCTTTCTGCACCTCCACAATAGCCGCCGGAGGCTCTTGGCCCTTATCCTCATCATTCTTAGAAAGACCATTCTGATCCCAGTGGTGTACTGCACCCCGGACACCATCCCATACATCCTCAGCCGGGACATCGATCAAAATAAATGGCTCGTCATCGGTGGATTCCCTCTCCTGCGTGCCATCGGCGTGCGGTGTCGCATCACGCCAGGGGTCTGCCAGACCATCGATGATGGCTACTCGGGGGTAAGAAAAGTTGAACCCGCCGTGTTTGTTGATGTTCGTGACGTTGGGCGGAGCGGTGATTCCATATGTCGTTTCACAGAAGGTTGATACGCTTGCAATATCCAAAACGCGCGAGATCAGAGGCATGATATCTTTCGGTACGGACGCACCGGACATGAAATAGCCCCATTCAGTGCACACCTGATATTCCCAACTGATACCGTCGCTTTTGGGGAGCGAGTTTGAGTCGGATGCGTCGGAGCTTTCGGTTTCGGTGTCGCTGGAAAAGGACTGGTTGAGAAAGCCAATGTGGTTCAAGAAACCGTTCACGAAGCTCGAATTGGATGAGTCGTACCCGGCCACCTCGATAAGCTCCTGGATAGTGGGTTTTACGGCCTCGGTGTCGGGGTACAGCAAGTTGGTGCTGGTAATGTTATCACAATAGGTTCGGAAGAACGAGCTACCGATATTGGAATCCCAGTTGCGTGATTGGAAACTATCGAGACCGTACGAAAGGAGCGAAACGAACGAGACATCGTCCTTGTCGGGACTGACTCCCACTGAAGATTTAAGCTGTTGGGCTAGCGTTTTATTATCGGCATGGTCGATTAGGATGCGGTCTACAACGTCGATGAAGGTTTGGGTTGCCCAGATGCAATCGGACGGGCCAAATTTGCGGATCGGCTCGTAGTATTGCCAGAAATCTATGATGGCTTCGGTGACGCCCGAAGAAGAAACAGCGCCCCAGTAGACGTCGGGGTAGAGCTTGCGCAGGAAGGCGACAAAGGCGCCGGCATACGATCCACCATAGGCGATCCAGGGAGTCGTTTTAGCAGTGAGATTTACATGCTCCAGGCCGGGAAAGACGACGTTGGAAGCGAAGTATGCATAATCGGCCAACGCCTGGTCGGTGGAGAGAAATCGGATATTCTCCGTCGTCAGATCGTCTACCGGGTAACTTTCGCCGTAATAACGATGCTCGAGAATGACTCCAATGCCGTGATATGCAGCCGCCAGTTCGGTGACAATGCCCTGCGATAAGAAAGGGAATCGAGCGGTCGCATCGGTTTCTCCGGCAGCGATCACAAACACCGGACCCCCTTCCTGGTAGTGTTGAGCGTCAAACCAGTACCGCAGGTCGAAACGGTCGTTGCTGTGCGGCGCATAGCGCGAGTCATTATGGAAATGGTCCACTGGCACCGAGAGATAGTGCGCAGGGTATTCAGCCGTTGTCAATTGCGATTTCACTGCGGCGTCTGGGGTCAATTGTTGTTGTCGCTTTGCGCGCAGCTCAGGATATGCCAGTTGCAAAGGCGTATACTGGAATGCCTGCGCCAAGGGAAGCAGACAGGTCGCTGCCAACAGCAAATTCACCATCTCGCCACAGTTTACTGCGGTCAGAAATCCTTGGGAAAGTTGTGAACTTGTGCATGAAGCTGCTTGGGGAATTGCTCTTGCATATAAGCCTGCCGGTTAGCCGCTGGTTGCCGACAATGCCGCAATGGGATGGCTTACCCCTCTCACCGACATGCCTTCAGGCCTGGGAGCCATCAGTTCCCCATCGGACTCCGTGGGAGTGGAGATGCTTGGCGGACTCTCGCCATAGTGCAATGTGATGATCCAATGAGAGAGGTCTACCATCCAACCTGCAGATGTCGATCACGGCACGGTGCCTGAGGCCACCACATCAGCGAGATATTCCCATTCCTATCTAGGCTAGACTGCACCAAACCCGTGAGAAGGCTTCTTTACCGAGGGCGGTAGATCATCTGGACAAATGAGACGTTAATGGGCTGGGCGTACCCGGCAGAACAACGCGATAAGAGTTGAAAAGCTTCAAAATCGCGTCCTAAAGTAGAGGGCGGTCGTGCAGGTTTCAGAACGTCTGGGAACTCCTGAGAAAACGTGTGGCCGGAATTCAATACCCTAAACCGCATAGTTCTTGAAGCTCTCCGCTCGTCATAGACATATTTCGTCGCCAGGGCGCGCTCATCAATTATATCCTTACTAATAGCATGATTCTTTGACGCATTGCCTGGTAGATGATAGTCGCGTAGGCGAGTGATAGGCGGTAGCCTCCGACGAGCTGATTCTTCGCAATGTTCCATCTGCCCAAGCCGAGCCGAATGACCATGAGGATAATGAATTGTTCCTGCCCGATGTTCCATCCGTCCAAGGTGATCCGGATGAACTTGAGGACCACGAACAGATCCTTCACAATGATCTTCCCACGAGCATATCCATACAGGAAGTGAGGTCCCTGGTGGCTGACGCAAGCCCTCCTCGATTACCCCATGGCCTGAAAGTTACCAGCAGCGATAGTGTGGAATGTAGGACCAAAATACCGATTCTCTGTGGAGGGTCCTAGATCTTAGGCTTAAGTATGACACAATGTAATAACTGTAGTCTCCCTGGCTTTATCCTTGGCATACTGGTAAACGTCAATCCTCCAACTATTCAACATGAGGCCTGGAAATTGCCGCTTTTCAACCCTCAAGCTAACGTGCAACTAGTCCCCTTTTCTCACGGCGCACCATAAAACTGAAATTGTACGTGGGTTCCCCATGAGCGATGCGGCAACTCCGGTCATATCGCCCTCTAGGGCGATCGTGATCCCAGTATTCCTTGTCATCCTTAACTGTTATCTTCATACAATCCAGACACAGTCCATCAAACTACTCAGTTGTCACTTTGATCGCCCTTTCCACACCATTTTTCCAATCGAAACAGCAATGCAGACAGCGATCACCGGAGATTCCTCTCAACATTCGTTCTTGGTCGAACCGTCTCAGTCGATTGAGATAGCATTCAACACTGGCCCGGGAAAATGACCGCTCCACCAGTGGCTGAACACCGATTCTGCCTAGCTCCTTGGGGTAATTGAAAACCGTTTCTTCCTTACTGCTACAAGAACCATGCTCAATCAACCAATCGATCTGCACAAATAACTCCCGGTCCAAGACGTTGCGCAGGCGTCTCCTGGCGGCATTCAACTGTTCTATAAATACACCAAGCCTGTTAGTATGTACATGCAGTGTATACGCGTCGTGGGATGACAGCTCACGGATTATTCTTGGCGGGAGATGCAACCGCACGTTGTCGATCGGGCTGATCTCGGTAATATGGCCGATCGCCACATACACGAGGCTCTTTGTCAGGGCCTGGAACCCGTCTGCGTAGTCGAACGCATAGCAAGGGAACATCAGCTTTCTGGCATTTTCATCATGGTGTATGTTGATGGCTGTTTCATTGCGGTACCATTTGACGAACCACTCAAGGAGCTGTTGTCGATCAAACTCATACTTATCACTGGCCAGTATGACATGCCATATATCAGCGACTGAGATATTGGTCACTTTCATGGCATTAAAAGTAGAGTGAAAGTGTCGAAACCATATTTCCATACTTCTCACAGTGTCGCCGTTCAATACAATCTCGTTGCTCTTCGACTCTGCCCATCCCCTTCCGAACATCGCCTGGAAGTAACTGCTTGAGGCGGCTAACGTATCCTTGTTGATATGCATTGACGCGGTTCGTGCTGGTACCTTCTCGCTATATTCGTCATCGTACTGGTTCGCTTGGACAGTGAAATCACTCTGCGAAATGATCTCGATGTCTTCGTGTGGAACTCGTATGTTTCCGGTCGTAGATGACATGGTTGGATAGCGTCTATGATCTCACAACCTATTACCAAGGCAGTATACTTGTCAGTCCCACGTTACTCACCTTGGTGATCCCAAATCTCACAACGTAGAATTATTGTGCTTTAGCGGAGACTTGGAATGGTATTGCTATCAGAGGTGAGGCTTTGCTGGAAATGTCCTAAAAGCCGTCTTTGCTCGACAGGCAAGGAGGCCTGGCTGGAACGAGAGTGTGATAAGCTGTAACCTCTCACTGTGTGGTATTAGTAGTAGAGAAGAAGATAGAGAGACAAGGAGAGAGAAAGTGAGAAAGAACAAAGGAAAAACAAAGACGGCTTCTATTAGAGGGGAAAGGGCGGTTGAGTAGGTTACGGCGAGTAGTGAATATCATTCAATCAACTGGCTTCTCACATTATTTTACCCACTCTGTGAGCCCCAGCGTCGCTTCATTCCCAGTACTGTCTACCAACAACTCTTAATGTTGGCCAGTAATACCCCCACGCATTCCTTAAGATCAATTCACTACCGATTATTTCCTGCCAGTACCTCGTGGAGTGTGTTCTGATGTACTGAGCTTAACCGACCTCCGAGCTCTTAGTAATTGCAGATGTCGAGCTTTCACCCAGTATGCAGCTCAATGATAATCTTAAGTTATTCTAGTTTTACGGCATTTGAAATCCACCACTCAGAGAACAGGGTTAAGAAAATAGGACTAAATTGTAACCAGGCATGAGTGAGCATAGAGAGTTTGAGGGACAAATTGATAACCCAGCAGCATGGTCTATCGCATCACTACTGCATCATTGACCCTGACTCATTACATAGTTTGGCTGCGTAATCATCCTTACCAGCTAGCTGAGCAGAGAAATCTTACTGATTGAGTGCTGCCTTGACTAAGACAATGATCATGCAATGATTCCCACGTATAAGCCTAAGGATCTGCCACCAACTGTAACCTAACATCCCCATTCCTATCTTCAACACGCTCCCTCAGTCAACATGCCCCACAATATGATCACAATAGCGTCCCCTCCGCAGGAAATGATTGATCAGGTATGATTAAAAGACGAGTAGACACTATTGAGACTAATATTGAAGTCTAGATCACCGACATTGCTAGCCATGGGGGTGGATCCAGCGGAGTACTCAAAGACCTCCGCCTAGTTGGCAGGCCATTTTGCTGCAGCGCGACGCGTCTTCTATTTCAGGCAGTTCGCCTATTCCAGAAACATGCAAGTGATCTGGACCTCGATAAACGCGATGATCTTCAGGCATTACTGGAGCTGGCCCAGTCTGGAGCCAGTCGATATATACGGGTTATGCGAGTTCATGGTGATATTTTCTCGAACTCCTCTGACCTAACCGAGGGAGTAGACGTGACAGGCACTATTGCGAAAGCTTTCCGGGACTATGAGCGGCCAAGACTGGAGAGGTTGGAGCTTTTTGAACCCAACAATTTGATGCTGCGCGAATTCTCCCATCCCGCAGTGGCACCTACCATCGCCGGTCTCCAGTACCTCACAATCTGGGGATGCCCAAGATGCCCCAGCAGTGCGGAGATGCGACGCATATTGCAGTCTGGTGAAAGTCTTCGATCGGTAGAGTGGCGAAACTGCCCATCATCCTTCGAGGGGGCGACTGGTATCGTTCACCCCAAAGCCCCGTTGGAACACTTCATACTCTATTGCTATAAGCCGTTAGTCATCTCGCTAGACGCCCTGTCATCCACGGTGCGCAATGCCAGGAACACACTGATCTGTCTGAGCATTTACCCCATGAGGTCTCAATCAGAAGGACATGCCCAGAAGCTAACGGGGGAGCTTACATCTTGCCCCTTGCTTCACCATGTGGATCTGGGCATATACTCTGAAGACCCCGTTATACAACAACATACTGAGAGGGTGAAGTCGACAATCCCTCCTGGAGAACTGTGTAGTGAAGAGCGTTACCCGGATTACTGGCCGCGCTTGTCCCTCGTTCGTTACTTGGACTGGGATTATCAGGAGGCTCGTGGATACTCTGGACCAGAAGCTGATATCTTACGGAACTTGATCAATCAAGGGCTCTCTCATGGAGTGAAGTCGGGGGCTTATCTGATTAGCAGATTGGTAGAAGAATTGGCGGGCTCTGCAATCGAGTCGATCAAAGACTCTGAAATTTACAAGTCTATTTCTTGGATTTCTTCGCCGGCGACCGCAATTATGACGATGCGTCTGCTAGGAATATCGATTAGTTAATTGCTCTACATGCACTGTTTTAAAGAGGCCTAGGAAGTAGATTGATGGTGAGATTATTGAGACTTCCTTGTACCTCTCTGACGCTAGCTGAAGTGGCAGATATCAAACAGCATAGGGGCTTATATGTATTAAGATCCAAGAGTATTGGCTATCACAGATAATATTACCCATGCAAGTCATATTTAATCTAGAATCAAGTGAGACTTCCTCCGTACCAATGCCTCCAGCATCTACCTCCTATCAAAAAGACCCAAAAATAGCGTCCCGATCACTGTTAAAATGGGCGCATACCCCCAATGGTTCCACTCCCCCTTCCCATGTGTCCAACAGACAAACCCATCGACATACGCAACCGCACTGGTCGCAATCATAATCCAACCGACAGACTTGGGATGACCGAAGAAAAGAGCGGAGAACAAAGCCACTCCCATGAAAACATCTCTCGCACCGTAGACCGCCATCAAGCTGTTCACCAGATCCCTCTCTGCAGGCGAAGTCGGTATCTTAAACTCGAAGAAGCTCAATGCATGGTCGGGACGCACGAATGCATTAATGCCGAATCCGATGGGAATGGCTGCGAAGGCACCGGCCACGAGGCGTATCACGGCGGAGTCAGAGGCCGGCATTTTTGTGCTGTTGGCTGTTGGCTGTTGTTGCTGGTCAGTTTGATTGGTTATCGATATCAAGACGGACATACGGAGAGTTTGATTCTTTATAATCAGGTGGATATGCTGGGTCTGGGCGTTGGAGAGTGCGATGATAATGGTATGGACGGTGATGCGCAAAGGAAGTTATATGATATATCTCACCTCTTGGCACTGGTCTCTGTTTACTAGGCAGACGTGTCGCTGCCTAGCCTGTTCAGTAGGTAGTCTCTTTGGCTGAGCTCTGATGGCCTTGGCACAAACACTGAGTTCACATCTAGGATTGTCGTTGTCCAGAAGGGTTGCTAATTGGGAGTGGTTATAGAGCTGCCCGAAATTACATTGTATCTCTTGTATAGAGTGCCATTTAGAACCCTACTTACCAAGCCACGCTAGACCGTATATTGCTGGCTCTGTATTTTAGGCTTGTTTTTATACATCAGCGGCTGTATATTAAACGGGCCGACATCGCTCAATTCTATATAACTATCTACAGAGATGGATGAAGCGCGTACCAGTGGATTATTTCGTACCATGCAAAGTTGAAGTCTAGGATGCAGGGCTAGTGCTGAGTTCATTTAACCTTTTCCTGGGCTGCGAACTTTTCCCTGACAAAGAGTACATCTACCTTCTCACCTTAAAGTTTCAATGCGTTCCCAACGTTTAGGGGTACAGAACTTCCCCAATGGTCCCTCGATTGGACTTCCAGCTCGATCAGTGCGATACTTACATTTTTTCGGGTAGTGGTATCCATGCTACCATTGAAGACAAACTGAATCCTTTAACTGCATCTTCTTGTATAGTTATGAGGGAAGAAAACGATGAAGCCCCACATCTATGCGGATTACCGTAGCTTGGATGGTTTGGCGCGGTATACCGCAACGGTGATCCCACCAGGCCATTATAATTCAGACCTGTATATGTATATCGAGGCTCTGGAGACAGTAGAGCATTTGAATGCAAGTGCTTTATCAGGGCTCCGAACATGATCCAACTACACTCGAAAGAGCACCCACGAATTTCGTTTAAGAGGTCATCACGTAGCTTGGGGAGTGTAGAGATTATAGTTGAGATTGCATCAGTTCTGTGGAGGTTCATTCTATCTAGGTAATTATTACAAAGGGCGATATAAGTAAATACCTCTTCAAGCTGCTCGCCGAATATAACCCCGGCAGGTGTCTCTTCGGCAGGTGTCTATTCAACAGGCGTCTCGCTATGATTATTCCAAGGTGCAAACGGATGGGTTGGGCATTGCAGAATTGTGGTCACCTCGCCATCTGGATCGACAATATGAGCTGGCTGGTCCATGGCGTCAATCTTGATTTTGGGGTGAGTTGGAATTATGTGGCACTTCGTGTAAGAATAAGTCAGGCTTTAGATGGTGATAATATCAGAATCGACCAGCAGCACCATGCAATGCTGTGGCACGTGATGAATGGTACAGCAGAGCGTAAGCGTAGCAAGCAGATTTCTTGGCCTCGCCAGTACCTATCAGTCACAATTCGGCCTTCGCCACGATGGAGCCAACTGCGGGTGCCTCGACGGGGAGCTCTCCGACGCGTACATCTCTAGCCCCGCCATGATGACGCTCCCGATTTGCTCGTCTTGAACCCAGAGAAGACTGTTGGGATCGAAGCTTGGCTCCTGCTGGTCTATATTGGCACTTTTAAACGTGTCTTCCCCTCTTTCCTGGGCTCTACCCCGCATCGCATCGGCCATATTTCTTCGAGATAGAGCATCCTTCAGCTCACGACACACTTTCAGTACTCGACCTGATACCGATGCAGGAAAAGAGTACGACCAAAGGTGCCACACTATACTCGTTTCAAAATGCCCGTTGATGTAGCCTCTCAAACTGCCGATGCCAGCATCGACAGCAGTCAACCTGGGGTGAGTTTCTCTTATCGGAGCATCTCCGAGATATTCCCATCGCGTCTACATCCTGATGAACGTGAACGTAGTTAACAAGCAGAAAGCCCGACAATGGACCAACAATGAGGGCCCTGGTTTATACAGGACCTAACAAGCTCGAAGTCCTGGATCGACCAATGCCAACCATACAATCCCCCACAGATGCAATTGTGAAGATGCTCCACAGCACAATCTGCGGTACCGACCTACACATCCTGAAAGGCGACGTGCCAGCAATTCCATACGATCGAATCCTGGGTCATGAAGGCGTAGGTACTGTTGTCTCCGTCGGATCTGCGATTGATGGACTTTCGATCGGCGACAATGTCGTAATTGCCGCAATCACAGCGTGCAAAGTTTGTGCATCTTGTCGAAAGGGATTGGAAGCTCATTGTGTAACTGGTGGCTGGAGACTGGGTAACAAGATTGACGGAACCCAAGCAGAATATGTGCGCATTCCACATGCAACGTCTTCCTTGTACAAGATTCCAAATGGCCTGGACCTTAGAGCCTGTGCCGCTATCTCGGATGCACTTCCGACGGGACTAGAATGCGGAACATTGAGCGCTCATGTGCAACCGGGCAGTACTGTTGCGATTATCGGGGCTGGTCCTGTGGGTTTGGCTGTTATGCTCACTGCTAGATTATACACGCCTTCTCGGGTCGTAATGATTGACTTGGACGATACCAGGCTGGAACATGCGAAGGGACTCGGTGCTGATCATGCCGTGAACCCAGGAAACCCGGATGCGATGGAAACCCTGAACACACTCACGGAAGGGGAGGGCTTTGACTGTGTGATTGAAGCTGTCGGGATCCCGAAGACGTTTGAAATGTGTCAGAAGTTAGTCGCACCAGGGGGTTCCATAGCTAATGTTGGTGTTCATGGGAACCCTGTTAATTTGGACATGCACAAACTATGGGATCGCAATATCAGTAAGTCTTTGTTTCCTGATGATAAGCAGTTGTTATGTTATCTAGGAGACTGCCCTCCGGATCCGGAGCATCAACTAACTGTACGCTCTGTAGGCATCAAGATGCAGTTGCTGAACGCCGTCAGTATCCCAACCCTCCTTCGACTGTATCAATCCGGCCATATAAAACCGGCTAATCTATTCACGCACAGTAAGTGGTATATCCAAGATTCTCCCGCATAATCAGGCTTTGCTCCCCTCTAACTAAACCTGGCTATAGATTATCCCTTTTCAGAGGTCCACAAGGCATATCACAGCTTCCAAATGGCGTCCCAAGAAGGTGCTTTGAAGGTTGCAATTGACTTTTAGTTCCACTTCAGACTTTGCCGATGATCGAGAGTGCGAGCCATGACCCGTTTGACTCAAGGACAGGTTATCTAAAAAATGAATTAACTTAGGACAGGTCCAAAGTACTTGGTCACAAACAACATCCAAGTTTGATCGTCCTCAGCTGTGATATAATTGTTCCTGTCTTCGCTATAATAAGAGTTTCCTATGCATCCAAGTGGCTTGCTACCAATGGGCGGTTGTAGGCTTCTTCGGACCCCCCAAAGAACCCATTTTTTTCAATTCATCCTGTTATTGCCATTCATAAACGTGCTTAATCAACAAAAAAGAACACCTTTTCCTACATATAGCCTTATTTATTACTCGCAGCATTGGACAAAATACCTCGTAAATAGCTGCAATTGCGAGATCATTTAGCACCCATTCCGTGATTGATACAGATAATGCTCGCAGGGAAGCACGGCTAAAAGTTGATGAAGGCCTCAGGTCCTTAGCAATTGTTGACCTAGTTTCATCCTGGATCATCCATTCCCCTAATGTTCCTTTTCTCCCGCTTCCGCTTCCACAATTCCATTCCTGATAATAGACCCAATCTCCACAAGAACGTTCATATATAGCGCTTCCACTGCTTGGTCATCATCCTCGAAAAGAGCTCCGAGCAGGCATTGACGGACCGCCTCCGTATATGTGAGCCCCATAGACACCTCTAATTCAGGTAGCATATTGTTGATAAGCCACTGCTGGAATTGGGCAGGGGTGTCGCTGACGTAGGGAGCGCTCTTTAAGTAATCTTCTTTAAGTTGTACCAGATTCTTCCAGAGGCCAATTTCAAGCAAAACTGTCCCAAGGCTGTATACGTCAAACTTTCTGCAAAAAGGTGGTCTGTCTACCACATCATTCTCGCTCTGCTCGATTGGAAGACCCTGGCACTGAGGGTGTCGATAGAGATTGAACACTCTTGAGAACCCAGGGATTTCAGTCTTACTATCGCCAACATTCGCTCTACTAAACTCAAACCCAATCAGGAAGGGGTTGTCCAACTGGACACGCATTATATCGCTGGCGAAGAATACAATATTATGGCTTCGGATGCTCTTATGATACCAGGAGCAAAGATGAACCATTAACACCGCCTTTGCAACTATCAATGAGAGGTTTGCGCGCTTAAAGGTGCCTGGCGCACGCTCCCACTCAACGAGCAGTCTGTCCAATGGCCAGATAGAATCCTCTGTTGGGAGCTTGTATAGGATTCCATACTCACTTGACTGTTGGCCAAAATGTCTGACGTAACCGAGACAATCAAGTGTTCTCATTTCCACGGGCTTGCCGTCTATGTGCAACAGCCTCGCAATGTCCTCAACACGGCACATAATCTCTGCTGCCTCTGCGATGGTGTGTTTTGGATCCACTGACTTCCATTCGACAATTACTCGTTGTTTCATCTGTCCCTGCTGCAACAATGCCGTGCTTCGGTTACTTGGCCAGGTCCTTTCAGTGTGGCACGATAAACTCCGCTTTGGCTTGAGTAAGTCTCTAGTGGATATTTGTGCCTGGCCAAACCGCCTATTTAGTAGCTCAGACATTCGTTGAAGTGCCGTCAGAACATCCTCTGGCCTCTCGTCGTCCAAGCAGCGAAGTTTCAATAGCGTTGTTCTTGCCGCAACAGAGGGACCCGCATCATTGCCTTGGTGAACTTCTCTAAGAATTGCACGAATTCCTGAGAGTAACGTATTGGTGTGCTCATTAAGCTTGTTGCTGAATAAATCCTGGCTCTTGGACAAAGACTTCATAATTCCTTGGGATAAATCATCCAGTCTATTTGTCTGATCACGGTCCATGAGCACGACTTTCTCCCTACTTACGTGTTAAATAGAAGGGGCAACAGATCATTGGAGAAAAACGGAAAGAAAGTATGAGATATTGACGACTTAAAAACATGTTCGTATGGTGCGGTGAAGTGGAGCATCCATGGATATATATCTACGTACCTTAAGCTCACTGTGAGGGAAAAGTTGATTTGGCTTCGAAATGTATGCAGCCTGAGCGCCAGCCTCTCAATTTCTTCTCTTTTCCACACGGCCTTTATCGCTTTTCTAAAGGCCTTGATCCCTCCGTCTGCCTGGCTGGCTTTGACATCGTTCAACACTTGAAGCATTTGACCCGCTACCTCTTGGCAACTTTTGCTGAGTTCTATGATATTCTCTTCCTCGATCGTTATGGATGTCCCAAGCTCCGGCTGGCGAAGCTTCTTCAGAATCATGTCTAGGCTAGACGTGACTACTTCTAAATCGAAATTTTGGCTCGTGGCTCCATTTGCCGATTTGTAAATTTCCAGGGCAGTCGATGTAACCTTGTATCCGAAGTCGATGAATTCGACCGCTGCAGAGACCACGGCTAATATACTAATGGGATCCATTGCGAGATAAGCTCATATGCTACCAACCCCCACTTCACGTAGTGACATAGAATAAAGGCGATGATCGAGAAGACAGCGCGAGGGAACGAGATCTTCCTACGCTATTAAGAGGCTTGGTTGACCGCGCCACCAGCTCGCTTTTTATCTTGGCGAAGCTCCAGTCCCCCAGAACATGAAGCAAAGTTAGTCACTACATGGCACTATCATAAAACTAATCATCTCTTCCCATTTAATGTCACCTTATGCTGGCCAAACTTCCAACACACAGAGCGATCGTTTTTATCCTAACTGACGTCAGCCAGAGAGTCAGCCAGGTCACCATCAGGTCTAGACCTTGGCTAATCGTGCCAGAGACAAAAATGCTCTGGATGCACCCAGATCTCGTATTTCTGGTCCAGCCTCCTTGCCGTCCAAACAAAAGATGGCCTTGGAGTTAAAGTATGTTCTGGTTCCAGATAAACGAGATTGCGATGGTGGATCTAAAGTGTGTAGCATCTGACACATTAACAAGTATATTTCGATAGTTCCAGCTATGCCCACAAATGCTATAATTTATTTGAGGAAGTAGTATTTTAGAACTCGAAACTCGCATCTTTCCTCGCATGCAAGCCAAAGCCAAAGCTGTCTCTCAGTGCTTCCTGTATCAGCCAATTACTGTACTGAGTGATCCTTTTGGCTCATTGAAGAACGACAGGGCTATTGACTAAGTGAAATCTTTTCAGACGCAGATGCCAACATTTAAATGGCCTCGTCATCGGAGTTTAATGAGCAATTTCAGCATCAACTTTCCCTCTCAGAGTCAACGAGCGATGCAAGAGTATCCAATAGGATTCAACAATCACCGCATGATCTTTGCTCTTTTATGAGTCTTTTCCTTCATGCCAATCATTGCCTGACGACCGACTTAATAGCATCGCAGGTCTTGCTTGATAGGTTCATCCCATGGCTCGGAAACGCGGTTGGATATGGGTCGAGCTTTTCAGTTGACATTGTGGAGACGGAGATCCTGCGACATGGTATCTACGTTGGAATACCCGCACCTCTCTTCGAAGGGCGGGACAAAGTCGCCTTGAAGACGCTTCTATTGTCAGGAGAGAGCTACAGCCCGGAAAATCAGGCCCGGTGGAAGGGGCTTGCTGTGGAATACCAGGTTCTCACCCACCCTTTTCTCGCTCTTCATTCCAACATTGTTTCTTTGCTGGGGATTTCTTGGCGAAGCACGGAATCCGAGCCAGGGGGTATCTCGCCTGTTCTGATCTTGGAGGCCGCGGACTGTGGGAGTCTCTCTACCCTCAGCGTCAACACGCTAGCAAGATTAGAACTACGAGACAGACTGCCGATCGTACTGCGAATCTGGAATGACGTAGGGGAGGGGATATCCGCTTTGCATCAGTGTGGCATCATCCACGGCGATCTGAAGCCAGACAACGTTCTCATCTTTGCCAACCCAGAGGAGAGCGGGTATAGAGCGAAATTGGCGGACTTCGGCTCCGCGATCACGTTGCCGGACTTCAGGTCAAGAATCCGTTCATCGGGGGGCACTCCGGACTGGCAAGCCCCCGAGTGCGTCCGCCCCCTCGGACGGTCCGGTTTGATCCGCACGGAGATCTACTCGTTTGGATTGATCCTCTTCAACACGCTACTCCCGGGTGTTCTCCCTCACAGTGAGCCTTTGACTAGACAGATCACTGCCAGTGCACTGGTTTCCACATATTTCCAGCTCGAGATTCTCACCACAATCATCCATGATTGCCTAGATCCAAATCCTGACAGAAGACCGGGAAGTATTGCATTCGTGCTAGAACGCCTCCAGGGCTTGAGATACGACCTTCATACACACCCTTTCTTGCAAACACAGTGAGCTCCCTATTGGCCATTAAAGCATTTGCGGATCTAATTACCCTTAGACTGCCAACGGCTCCGGTGACAAACCTCCAACTCATTTCGAGCGGTGAAGATGTGCCTTCGGTATGACCACTTTGGGTTTCAACTTGGCAAAAGCTGATCGCTCGTGAAGATAGTCAATTACCTAGCCACTTTTAATTTATTTCCAAAGGTTGTGACCCACAATGTTCTCGACAGTCTCAAACAGATAGCAAATTGCCAAACGTTTAATTGGGGGAGACGAAGTGCGGCTGCGTTTCAGCTTTCTTTTGCACTGATTTGTGGCTTGGACAATCGGAACCACAACCATGATATACTTGCGTCAGAGATGCTGCACCTCGCAGCAGAGCATAATTATCCTGGAACGCGAGTGATTCTCGGGCAACTATCGGAAGCGCTTGGTTCGACACTGCGGATTTCTGACGAAAAAGAGCAGCAGTGGCTGTTGGATGCAACGCTCCAAGGCAGTGCTGTCGCACGAAGGCGACTGCTGAAGCTTGATCACCAGCGTCATTACGATGTAGTACACGGATCATGCCACGTAGCGCAGCCATCGATCTACACTCGTTTAGAGAATACCGGGAGTGATCAGCCCGGATCTGAGTATCTGTTGCATCGTCTTGCAATAGCCGGCAGGCCAGGTTGTATTAAAGACATCGTCAATTCTCATTGTTTAAATATCAACGAAAAGGGCCTTTTAGGAGAAACACCGCTCCTATTGGCCTGTCGTAACGGCCATCTATCGACAGTTCAAGCACTTCTGGATCTTGGCGCAGATGCGAAGCTGTCGGACGATTACGGAACTACACCATTACATTGGCTTTCCCGATTCCATGAATCAGAAGTGGATATTGTGGTGAAAGCTCTTATACAACATGGGGCAGATATCGAAGCAAGATCAAAAGGGACAAGAGCCTTTAAGAAAGACGGTGATCATTTTGACTTTTGTGGTTGCTACGGAGGCACTCCACTTCTTTGGGCTGTTGTTGACTATGATCTATTCTTAGCAAAGATCCTCATGGACGCCGGGGCTGACCCGTGGGACGATGCTGGAAATGACCTTCCCGTATCAAACGAATGGTCTAACTCTATTCATTGGTCACCAGTGCTCTTCGCTGTAAGGGGACGAATGCATGAAATCTTACAATTGTTTCTAGAGCGAATGCCCGACCCAAGTAGGATAAACACACACGAACGTGTGATGGGTTCGGACGAATACGCTCAAATAGTTTCTCTGCTTGGATTCTCAGTTATTCATAGTGGCTTTGGACTGTTCGAAACAATGATATTCCACGGGGCAGATTACCGGATGTCATGGGAGGCAACTATCCGGCTGTTGCTTGACCATGGTGCCAATCCGCGAGCTGTCACGCATCAGGGACACACACTACTGGAGCTTGCTGCCCAAAACGGAGAACCGTTTATGTTTAACACTCTCTCGCAGCTCTTGGCTGAACAGTATCCAGTGGGTCGACCCGAGATTTGCCATTCTTTATTTTATGCTGTCTGTCGGGAGAATGAGGCTGTCTTCGATGCACTCCTCTCGGAGAACTTCACAGATATGCCATGGGGTTCTGAAGGGGACAGGCTATTGTTACAATGCGCTCGTCGATCAGACAACCCCCATTTCGTGGACCAGCTGCTCAACAGTGGCGTCGAGGTCGCCCAGCCTCAATCCAATACCATCTTTGAGGTGGCGCTTACTCAAGGCAACTTTCAAGTCGCGCGAACTCTATACAATCGTGGCTTTTTCAACCCGCTATGCTTGGAGCGCTACAACTTCGCTGGTGAATGTGCTGAAGTGGGCCAGATGACAGTGCTTGGAAAGATTATACTCAATGCGGCGAGATCTAGTGGCTCTATCTCTGCCGTGGAATTCCTATTGAATCTAATAGAGGATGAGCATGATGAGGCAACCGAGCCTCACCCTGCTTTCTGGGCAGGAAATGATGCGCATGGCTACACGTCAGTGTTGCATCTGGCTGCCATGTTGCATCCTCTTCGTGACGATCTGACAAGAGGATCCGAAGTTCTCGATGCCGTTTTGAACAAGTTCCACCGAGGACACCATTTGAATAGCAAAGGCTTCTTTAACGGCTTCACTCCACTCCACGTTGCCGTATACAGTGGGAACATTAATGCAATTCGGGTTTTACTGGAAGAAGATGGCATTGACCGCCAAGCTCTTGACGATAGTGGCCGCACACCGATGGACCTCGCTCTCTATCGATTGACAGAGCCTGACGATCCGGATATTATATCTACCCTTCAGAATCAAGCATCGCCCTCCGATAACGTGGAATTTGCCGACCGCCTTCTGCGTCAGAATTGCATCGAAACACTTGTTGTTCTGATAAGAGAGGGCCTTCCGTCCAGGAGGTATGACGGGGCAGTTCTCAAAGATGACGAAACAGCAGTTGCCTGTGTAGTTCCAAACTACGATGGAGGGAAAATCATACAATTGAATCTGCCGCAAGGTGAGTAGCTTGATTTTGCATCACGTTCGACACACCTGCTGACCAAACTAGGTAGGGATTCTGAAAAAGCGAGGAATGATCCGCTCTTGGGGCCCTTTATTGCTATGGAACCTGGTAGCGTGAAGTTTCTCTATGCTGACACCAGTGTATGGAGTGCTTTACTTTCTCGATTCCGTTCTTCTAGTCAAGCCTAGTATTGCAAGAGAGAATGGTGTCTTGAACCCACAAGAGGTTAGAACTTAGAGGTTAATATTCCAACAGTACTATCTGCGGCAGGTCCTATTGGCTTTGCCTTCCTCAGTATTTATTGTCTGTTGGGTATCCCCTAGGCGTGCCTAGATTACACCTCTTACTACCCCTCCCCTAACTCTCTTCATCCACTAGTTCTAGATCTTTAAGATTATCTCGAGAGACTCTATCTCTCCAGCTGCCTCTTCTAGGAAGCAGCTGATCTTTGTTGTTGTAAGGCAAGCTATTACGGCCTTGGTAACTCTCCAATTCTTAAAGGGGCCATATTCCGGGGCTATTTCGCCCTGCCTAGGCAATAGAACTCCGCTATCTTGGCTAGGGCCCTGTACAGAGTCTGCCGCTAGTAGCACCGTTGTATGACAGAGCTATTTGCGACAGCTATCACGTTGCTCTGGCATATCCTCGTTTTCGAAGAACTTTAATAACAAGAGATACATAGATGAATCTATGAAGCAGGGCGATTATGCGGTGTTCAACACCCATGGTTAGAACTGATCTAGAATCAGTCCTGTTGCCATGATCGCGACCTCTCTTTAACGTCTCTTATACCTAATGTGCCAGTAGCCCACCGCCAAAAGAAAAGTTGGAAATAGCCCTCTACTATCCCTGGCAACCAGCCACGATAGAGCTTTCAAGCTAGTCAGGGATTGGCAAAACTCAGCTAACTCCATTACAATAGTAGCATCGGTTGCCAAGGCCTCTGTTCCATATCTGGAGTCTTTCAGCCTTGCCTATTACATTTAGTGTTCAAGTTCGAGTATGTCCTTTTTGTTCACTCCGATTACACATCCAATGGTAAAGAGATGAGGTGTTGAGTATTGCAGATATGAAATTGTTAGCAGTCACCCCACTTGCCGTACATCTACTATGGGCTCGATACAATGCTTTGACCAGATCTAGTGGTTTTAGTAAATCTCAAGTAACCTGAAAACAACTAGATGCATCACATGTTACTTAGAGTGGTACGGGGCGGATTCAAAATCTAGACCGTGCTCTTCATTTTCGAATTCCAAAGTCAAAGACCAACCCGCCCAGAGAACCGATTCTACCCGAACCCGCACGGGTTTTCCGGGCTGGGCCAGGGTTTGACCTTGGGACCCGGAAACCCGGAGCGGGCCCTAGATCCAGAACCCGCCCTGGAAATCGCCGGGCTCGGGGCGGGCTCGGGTCAGGGTTAGCGGATTCCACGTGCCACTCTCCTGATCTTTGATGCGGGCTAGTGCCTCGACGCCGCACCCATCGAGGGGAGCGGTGCCTAGAATACAGAGGAATTCGAAGCAGAAGAAACCATACATACCTATTGAGAAAGAACTCAATCATCGGACCTTGAGCTCTCATCCTGAAGCCACAACCACATCCTGAGTGCCGTATGTATGAAGATCCAAGAAGTTCCGGCATTTATAATGGGATCGGAAATCCGCTTTCTTTCTGAGCAGGGCTGAAAAGTAGGAAGGGAAAAGAGCTCGTTATCATCTGAACGAGTCAAGTACAAGAAGACACGCATCCAGTAGGATATACCTTTGGATCAAGTTCGATTAAGATCGGTGTAACATCCGAGTGACTGTAGCAAATAATTAAACCTCTTCGCCTTGTGTTTGCCTTTATTTCAAGACTTACACATAATGTTGACTCAGACCACCTCGATACAGCTATCTAGAGTATCGAATTTTTCAATCAACGTCTTTTTCAAGGGCTAAAATCCGTAGAATATCTTGTGCAGGTGCATTCGGGAGAGGTCGGATTCAAGTTCGCTTCGGTAGAGACATGACGAGAAGAACGGTGGCTGATCATATGCTTCGTAAATAGTACAAGGAGGGTTATCGGTACTCCCTGCTCCATGCGACTCTCCTCAGAAGAGCTTCTTACAAAGCGGATAATTCAATCCGCCCTCCAAAATTAAGAGAGTATATCCTGCCTCCGCACTGTGTCCAGAAGGCTCCATAGTTAATACCACCTGCATTTAGTCACGACGTCGTGCAGAGTTTGTCTTTTCGGCATCAGTTTAATCTATTTCCTGATCACTTTTTGTTTCATCTACCTGGACCAGCCATACCAATCAGCTGGAGGGGTCTATACGCAGTCACGTCCATAACATGAAGTAGCTAGCGATACGTTGGCTAGTTCGTGCTGAGCAGTAGCTCAGGATGCGCCTCCTCGTCATATTGCTGCCCGATGCCCCTCAGCACCGCCGGTCTGGCCTCAATCCGCTCGATCCATTTCTTCAATTGCGGGAATTTGTCCATCTCATCCTCGGTAATTGTGCTTTTCTTCCACCCCCGCACCCAGGGGTACGCATTGATATCGGCAATACTATACGTGCCTCGACCTGCCCCCACCAAGTACTCCCGGGTTTCGCCCCCGGCCAGGCTGCCGGACAGGTGCAGTTCCAGCACGTTGTAAATTCGAAGGGTTTCGGTCTTGAATCGTTGAACAGCATCTGTTTTCAAACCGTTGTTTTAGCTCTCCGCGCATGTATTGCATTTGGGCGATTGCCCCTATAGAAACACAAGATCGAGGCTTACAAGGAACCTGCACTGGAGCGAATCGTCCGAAGTGATTCAATCCCGCTTGCTGTGGCTGGCCTGACGCATTCCAGAAGATTAACCACTGGAAGAGCTGGGATTGGTCGGCGGCCGTCGAAAAGTGGAAATGGTGATCGGGGTCAAACTTTTCCACCAGGTAAAGGAGTTCCGCAGACGACTCCATGACTGAAAACGGCTCGCCGCTGGAATGGTCGATGATTATGGGGATCTTCCCTGCAGCCAATCGATGAGAGAGAGGCTGCGTTTCTGTCTAGGTTTCAAAAAGAAGTACTGACCATTGGGATTGAGCTTGAGAAACCATGGCTGCTTCTGCTCATCGGTGTCGAGATCGATCAAGGATGTGGTCCACTCCAATCCATACACCTCTCTGAGTTCTTCGAGCAGAATCTGCACCTTCTTCCCATTCGGAGTCGAGCAGGTAATCAAATGTAAGCCCTATTATGCTGGTGGTGAGTATTGTATACAACAAGCTAGATATGCTAAAAAGAATGGCTACTACCTTCGTATCTTTGACTCTTGATGGCGTCGTTTCTGTGAACAATTCCGCCATTGTATTGGCTACGCAATGCCTGCAGGTAAGTGAAGAGTCAGTCAGAGATTTTGGAATTCGAAGCCTCTGTTTCAAAGGTAGATATTTATGCGTAATCTCACCAGGCATTCTTACCCAACGGATACCCGGAATAATTCGTCATAGTAAGCGCGTCTAACGTCTTTCCATCCTGGTCCCGGAACATGTAACTGGCTGGTTGGTTGGATTCCAGCAGCCATGATTGTGGAGAGCAAATCGCTCTACAATTATTTTATCATTCAGTAGCTATGTGTTTGCCCAGGCTTCTATATTCTGATCAATTACTTAATCTATCAAACCTGGTCCACCTACACCTTAACCTTCCATCTCCACTGCCAATCCAGAAGAGCCCATCGGGACAACGTAATGCTCACCAGCCCGGTCAACAAAACCGCCGAATAGAACCCAACGAGGACCTGCGGCGTAGTCGACTGGAGCAATTTCCCTCCAACAGGAACAGTAAGCAAGACACCGAACGCGGCGACACAATAAATCGTGCCGTAGAACCGTCCGTATTCTTCCGTCTTGCATAGCTGGCCTGCACACACCGGCGCCAGCGAGAGCCACCCGCCCGACCCGAACCCGAAGATAGCCACCACCGCGTACAGCGTGGCGTCGTCGCGCGATCCGAACGGTAACCACACCGCCGCCATCACGATGAGGGTCATGATGACCAGGGTTAGGAGGACGTTGAATCGGCCGATGAGGTCGGCAGCGATGCCGGGGAGGACTCTCCCAAGGAAGCTCATGGCGTTCAGCACGGTGAGCGAGTAGAATTGCACGTCCAGCGAGAGTCCCGCGTAGCGACGTACGTGGGGAGGAGGGCCGCGCAGCCGAAGATAATGAACTCGAAGGAGAAGACGCCGACCGCCAGGAAACATAAACGGGGCGATTTGACGCCCGTATGTCGATCGTCGTTCGGCTTTGGGTACTACCCGGCAGCCGTCCTTTGACAAGTGCGAAGCCCAGCGTGTAGCACCCCAGTGCTATGAATGCGATCACCCGGATTGCCCAGGCCCAGCCGTACTTGGCGAACAGGGTTCGTAGGAGTAGTGGGATAATGGCACCACCCGCTGATGATCCGCCCATGCAGATGCCGGATGCAAGCGCACGTCGTCGATAGAACCAGTGGCTCAGAACGGCGATCGATACGGTGGTGATAACTGCTGCAGATACGCCTCCAAGGACCCCCAGACATAGCATGAAATGCCAGTACTCGGAGCACTGTGCGAGGAGAATATAGGACGTGAAACTGCCGAGCGATCCGCAGATTAACAGGATCCTTGGTCCGTAGCGATCGAATAGCGGGCCGACTTGGACACCAAGAAATAGGGTCAGGAAGACCAGCACGGCGGTGATCCAACCGACATCACTGACGCTATAGTTGGAAAGCTGGTGAGTGCTGATGTAGTCCTGGACAGATCCAACTACAGGGTGTCAATTCCCAATTCTGATTAAACGGATAAATCAGGGTTGCCCTACCAGCTGTTTGAAAACCAAATGAGGGAAACATCATCAAAAATGAACCCAGAAGACATGTCCATGCCTCCCGTCCGCCATCTGGGAAGGCCGAAACAGCTCGGCTTTCATCAACATTATCCGCTAAAGGCTCACTCGCAGCAGACCTCACGTCAAGGTCACTCTCAAGTTCAACGTTTTCATGTTGAGGGAACCGACGCATTGTGTGGCTTTGAGCGACTCAGATGTAGTCCATTGATGTTGCCAGATCTCGATCTTTAAAATGACTGTTCGGCTGTTTGCGGCGCTTGTCATCAACAGGGCGCGACACTAGAGCTCGGGATGGGTCTGATGGATCCACGGAACTTATCGAGTTTATCATTATTGGACTATTTTGTATGGGTCCATCCAGTATCTGCGAAGAATGGTAGCAATGTGTAGCAGTACTACTGCGGAGGTTTATTGTCTCGTTCTAATAATTCAAGTCTACAGTCATGTGATGTCCTTTGCCCTGACTTTATGTATAATATTGTGAAGTTCAAACTGTATTGCCCGTTGACCATTGTCAGCATACTTAAAAAATCAGCTTCTCTTTGTCGACATGATTTCAGGAACGAAGGGTCTGTCAGACCTAAAATTTAACTGTTGGCTTCGGCCCTCGGCGGGTGGGTGATACAGAGCTGCTTTGTTAAAGGCCTGAAATAAGATTATACGGTGCCAACCAGCCAGCGTTTTTGTTTCGGCCCTTCTCTTCACCTCGCTTCTCGTTGGTTATCAATGCAATTTTGACAGCTAGAAGACTAAAAATGAAGCAAGAAGAGAAGGAAAGGCCACACAATGACGTGATCCAGTAGACTTACTTGATACGATTCATCTCCAGGGCCCTTCCTATGCCGGTATTTCTTCAGAAGAGCGATAGCGCTTCTTGGCGCGTCAGGGACGAACTTACCTTATCCCCGATCCCCTTCAATTATTGGTGCGCCCATCGAAGCCAGTCTTGATCTCGGTCAATATACGCCCATGTGACCTTCTACATATACGAACTTGTGCTACCTTGGCGTCTCAAACCATCTACTTACGCCAATATCGTCCTAGGGAACCTCTGTCCTTCTGACACGTAACTACGGCTACCTCCCTACATTGGCGCGCCTAGAAAACAAATTAAGACGTAGACGTAGAACAGAAGAAGAAAATCAGATCTATTGCTCTACAATAGACATAGTTTTTCCATACAGAAGGCAAGTCGCCCACATGGTGTCCCGCACGGTCACATACCCGTCAACAGACAAGATGAACTCCAAGCCCGGTCAAGGAATGTCCACATTCAACTAGAACCAATAACGCGTGCCGCCTCTTCCAAGGCCTGGGGGTATTCAAGATAACTAGCTGAGTTGCTGAGATAAATGTGGCCAGTAATGTCCCGAAGTTGCCCGACCAGACCCGCCAGATCGGTTCCCGTGGGTACAGAGGTGACCATGGACGAGAGACGAGCCTTGTCGATGTTTTTGACGCGGTCGAATTCATCTCCTGCAAGCGCCTCTTGGAACCTGCTGTGTGGAGACTCGAAAATGACCGTCGAGTCGGGGATTTCGAGGTAGGCGTTGTCGGGGATTGTTCCGGGGTTCATGACCACCTGAAAGTTTGGTTAGTTTGCGGCTGCAGGTGAAGCCGGCAGGGGTACTCACATTGTTGTGTGGGCCGAAGCCCTTGTTCTCCTTGACTTGAGTGGTGAGTTGCTTGTAGAATGTCACTTTCTTGTCATCAGGCTCAGCGGCTGCTTCGTCGAAGAAGATGCCGTGGACTGCGAAAGAGGCATCACCGCTCACAGTCGGCCAGTTGGCATAGGTGGTGATATCGCGCTGAACAGCGGATAGGGGTCGGCCTCCGTAGCATGTCGCAACGTAGCCGATGACGGCCACGTTGGAGTGTGCCGTCAGCTTGGGGATTGCCTTGCGCCAGTTGGCATCCGGTAGTGTATCCCCGCCAGGACCGCTGCTGGGGTTAATGATGACAGTAAACTTCACATTGGGGTTGTTAGCGGCGCTTTTAGGGTGTGGTTAGTATATTTGCTCTGGTTCACCATAGTGTGTGGAGCGAGTCGTGAAAAACATACAGTTGCTCTACAGGTGTCCAGGCCCCCTCTGCTGGGTAGACATAGTAAGGAATGATAATTTCGGTACCTCCAGCGAGATTATCTCCCGGCTGCAGGGGTGCGGTGGCTGTCGCCGAAGCTGAGGGTGCCATTAGTGAAAGGCTAGGCTCGCTGGTCTGAGAGTTGGTATCATCATTGGTCGCATCATCTTGCTCTTCCGAGTCATACTGGCGAATGGGGATGATTGCTGTCTGTGCAACCTGGAACAACAGAAGTAGACAGCTCAGAACACGAAGTATATTCACGGAGAGCATGATGCTAGACTGGATACCAGAGTCAGGAGAGCAAAGTAGAGGGAATGGATGGGGGGTGCACGGTAGGACTGGAGGAATGTCTGCAAAGAATGAATGAAAGAACGCATGAAGGGCTTATAAATACTAGGAACCACACAGCTTTCCAGAAGCTAGTAAATTCAGATCGGAAGAATGTAATGATTCACTTGCTGTCTATATATTCAATAAGATGGCTTACATTCCGCAGCCTCTGCCTGGTGCCGAAAGAGGATATAGTATGCTATGGTCTCCACATACCAGGCCCCTGTTCTAGAACGCCTAAACAAAGCCAATCCAAGATAGAACTGGGGTAGATTGAAATTCTATTTTTTACCCCTCTGACATATATGCACGTGGCGGGTAGGCAAGCCAACCAGGTTACTCGGCATCGGCTCTCACGGTGGTGAATGTAAAATGTTAACTCCAAATCTAAGCCTGGCTCAGGAAATATGGAATATATTGAAAATATCACAGTTGATCAAGATCTCTACGGAATTATAATCCGATAATTCAATGGCATAAAGAGATTTACCGATTGGGTGGTGCTTGCAGCGGGTTAGATTCTACTCCATAGATCACAGTTGAATGTCATCCACCATTATGGAGACAAAAAGAAGTTGAAAATGCTATTAACAGCGCCTCCTTGTGTGTTTCATTTTTCATTACCCTTTGGATGATCACAATTAGGCAGTAACAAAGAGTCCACGAGCCCTCAGAAAATTGTCCTTGACCAGTCATATTACACTGAATGACATTCTGGAGTTCTCTTAGTCCAAATCGAATCTTCTGTAATTGAACGGTTAAAAGCAAACGGAGGGTCAACTAGTTGCATACATTCGAAAAGTAGAATCCCAAGAGCCGAGGCTGATGCTAGCATGAAACATGATGTGTTCGAGAAATACCGTCACTAGAGCACAGTGATATGTTTCTAGGGCTTCTTTCTTTGTTGGGGAAATTACCTGTCAATGTCAGGTGCTTTTCCGGGCCCTTATTGGTACCATTCAAGCGCCACGGATGCTGCCCCTCTTCCGCTTCAACGCCCTGTCTGAGCCCCCTCATTCACTTGTATCGTGTAAACGTGGATATCTTGGGGGTCATGGCAAATTTGCAAGTTGTCGGTGTGTATACGTACCAATTGTTCGAGCGCTGCAATGCCCCAGGATTATATGCTTCCCAAATCTAGCACTCGCTCCTTCTCAGAGGATCATTGTGGCTCAACAGAAATGGCCCGTGATGGTAAAAGCTATTCTAGAAAGGTATATAACTGCGTATCTTTGGTGACTAGATCTTTTAGGAACCCAGTGTCATCATTCTTTGTTAATCGTTGCCCGCTGTTGGTTACCTAGTCTTATGTTTGGTCGACCTGTGTAGATAAGCTCCATACCGGCAATGTAGATCGAGCGGTCCGCGATCTTACAGCGCCGGGATGTAGATCTCATTCGGGGAATTTAGTACGACAGTCCTCCTGTGTGTACAGGTGTAGATTCGATTCCTCGGGGCTACGATGTCTTGTTAAGCGCTCCGAGAAGTGCTAGGAGCATAGCCGCTAAGTTTACCCCACGTTCAATCTGCTCATCATGCTGTAGCAATGTGCCTTGTCGCTTCATTGACATTGTGTCCGTCATTTGCTCCCGACTACCATCTTATAAACCATATACAGATAGTACATTGATAAAAAGTTGGAAGGCTTCCGCTGCGAAGATTACCCATGCAAAGATATTTAGTTTAACGCATCAAGACTACTTAAGATAAGTAGCGTAGCCTGCGCAGATTGAATAAGGCAACATCGAGGTCAAGGCGAACCAAATGGGTTTAACTCGTGGATTCCCTTGTAGGTCTTGTGCCCAGATTGCGACAATACCATAGATCGTTCCCTTTCCTCCGTCCTTGCCCACCCCCCCTTTAAAGAAGCTTCCTATCGTGTATTTGGTGTTGCACGTTCACTGGGAAGTAGGAGATATAGTGCTAGTTAATGTCAGTTATACAGTCCATTCTTAGAACAATTCATGAGTTCAGGGGCTATCCGGCACATTGCGGGCCTCTAGAAAACATATAAATAGTTCGTAATAGGTGGAATATGCCATTCCATCATGCAGGGGCTAGACAATCTGATTGGGTGCAACTAACAGACAGAGTCTTATCCGAAACATAAAAGCGTCCGAGCACTGTCGATCTCCGCGGTTCTGTTACCGGATAAAGTAGGGTTGTCGGACCCTGTGACAGCCGAGAAGCACTAGGGGCTGCACAGTCGGCAGCTAAACATCGCTTAAACATCGCATATACCGAGTCAGACTCTCTTTTAATTTAATGGGAACTGCCAAAACACCCGATTCATGCATCAATCAACGGCTTCCTTGGCAGCTAATCTGTATGCGACACGGCGTTGAACGGTTGTAGGTATAAATATGCGCCCGAGGCATCGCGGGATGAAATGGAGAGATAATCTTCTACCACTTTCGTTTCTGTTTCGCCTTGTTCGCTATTCAAGATGCGGCTCACTCTCTCCTTCATCAGTCTCTTGTCGCTTCTCCACTCTACGTCGGCCTTGATCGCCTTCCCTGGTGCAGAGGGGTTTGGCGCGAACGCGGTCGGCGGTCGTCAGGGTGAAGTGTACGTTGTGTCGAACTTGAACGACTCCGGCGAAGGGTCGTTGCGCGATGCTGTATCTCAGTCCGGTCGGATCGTGGTGTTCTCTGTGGGAGGAGTGATTGAAATCACCGATCGCATTGTCGTATCGAAACAAGTGACGATTTTGGGACAAACGGCCCCTGGCGATGGAATCACCGTATATGGAAATGGGTGGTCATTTTCGAACGCTGACGATGCCATCGTGCGGTATATCAGGATGTAAGCATCAACCTATTGCATTTTGTCTCACGCAACATCCATGCTAACGAGGGGAACCCAAATACATAGTCGCATGGGCAAAGGCGGTTCATCAGGAAAAGACGCCATGGGCATCGCCGACGGAAAGAACATGATCTTTGACCACGTCTCTGTCTCTTGGGGTCGTGACGAGACATTCTCGATCAATGGTGATGTCACTAACGTTACCATTCAGAACAGTATCATCGCCCAGGGTCTGCAGACACATTCCTGTGGCGGCTTGATGCAAACCGACGGTGGTGTATCGCTGTTCCGCAATCTGTACATTGACAACAAAACGCGCAACCCTAAGGTCAAGGGTGTCAATGAGTTCACAAACAACGTGATCTATAACTGGGGCGGTGGTGGTGGCTATATTGCCGGAGGCTCTGAGGGAGAGTCCAGTGCGTCACATACCTTGCTGATTCCTATGTCTGGTATGCTGGGCTAACGCTGTAGACAGATGTTAACGTCATCGGGAACTATTTCATTAGCGGACCGTCTACCTCAGTCACAGCGTTTACTCGTGGCAACGAGAACTTCCATGCCTATGTTGAGACAAACTACTATGACTCCGATAAGGACGGCACTCTCAATGGCAGCGAGCTGGGTGTGGCCTCTTCCAACTACGGCGGCATGGATCTCGTCACCGCAAAGTACGACTATCCAGCTGTCGCGTCCGTCTTATCTCCGGATGATGCCCTGACTTATGTCACCAAGTGTAAGTTACATTTTCACAAATATTCCACCGATACCATACTAATAGTAAGTAGATGCTGGAGCATCAAAGGTGAGGGACAGTGTCGACACCCAATTAATCGCCCAGGTCGAATCCTATGGCAAAGATGGCGCACTGATTTCCGACGAAGCGGACATGGGAGGCGCAGGCGACCTCGACCAGGGTACGGCCCCTACCGATACCGATGGTGATGGAATCCCCGACGATGCCGAGGCAGAGCTTGGAACGGACCCCAACACTGCGGATTCCATGGAGCTGGATGCCAGCGGGTATACATACCTGGAGGTTTGGGCAAACTCCCTGGTTCCTTCCAGCTATGCGTAATTCTTTAGCATGGTTTGCCAGGTGTTCATCATACCTTGCATTGTACATACATACTTCGTACATACTCTTTTACTGAGCAGCTGCGTCAATTCATAAAGGCAATCGAGCATATATAAACGTGCGAATGTCTCTTTCGGTAGTTATGCAGAGTCCTTTGAGCTCATGAAGTCGTGGATCAATTGCTCCAGGATCCTGTTCCGCACGTAGTAATGACTCCAGCCAGGGCCACGGCTCGGGATTTTCCAGGGCATTTCTAAGTCATCCGGAGCTGTGTGCCCTCTAACGAAGCATCACGCATGCTCGCTCACATTTTTAATTGGGTCTGTATTTTATTAATTGGCAATGCGTTCTCAAGCTAAAGCAGTAGGTCGTGGATCGTAGTGGTTAGCGTTTGGGGGCCGCATCCACTTATCTAGAGCCGGATGAATCCAGGTGGAGAGGGAAACAGTTTCTGGACTAGGACCCCTCAAATATACTCCGGTGCTCTTCTGACAGGCAGCGTGCTATCCTGATTCTCTATTTTCTGATGGTTGTCTCGCTGCGTTCTCCCTTTCCGGATGCCTTGTCTACGCTAGGTCCTTAATTGCCTGAGTCTGCCCTAGCTTGTGACCGCGAAGTAATTAGAAGATCCAAGGGTGTTTCTCTACGATCGACATAATGCCAAGCTTTATAGGAATAGGAGAAAAGGTATAACGTGCAGCGTTAGAGTCATAGCCACGCTGACACGTAAGTTTTGGCGAACGAGTTACTGAAGGTCCGCCACTAGGAAGACGAAGGATCTGAACCCCCGATTAAAAACAAGAGCTTGGTGACCAGGGTTATAACTGGCCGACCGCAAGGCCCACGGGTGTTCATATGGAGCTTGGCTTACCGCCAAGAATAAGAAGCTTGACGTTGCGCCACCGGTGTGGTTTTGGCTGCCACAGTTCCGTTCTATACTCCGTGCCATTGTGCTTAGCATTTGCTTGTCTCTGAGTAACTATCTCATTAAATGCTTGGTAAGCCTGTCCGTCCTACCACAAGTCACAAATCAATGTTAAAGCTAATATCCTCTACTCCATAGACTTTTAATACGCTACTTTATAGAGTGGGGCCGAGTTGTTCTTTGTGCCCTGTAGGCTCTAAGCCATCCTCGGGCGTCACTGTGGGCCATACCACCAAAATGGCCTTGACGGCGCCCCCCGAAACGCACGGCTAGTCCTTTAACCCTGGTAAAAGGACTAGGATAAGGCTGATGGGCCAACGCTTTGCCTAGGATCATTTCCGAGAAAGGGAAAGTTAAGGGTGTTGCGATCTACTAGACCAGCGAATAAAACGGAAATGTGCCGTCCAACCCAAGACTATTGCACAGTCAAGACATCATGCCCCTTACGGACCAGGATATGATGTTACATCGTTTTGCCTGGGGTTAGTGACGCTAAGTAATGGGGTCCCAAGCTTCCTAGAAATTCCGTTGAGAGATTTTCTTAAAACACACTCGCTCGCCATGTCGTTCCAACCATAGACTAGACATCATGTTAAGGCCGACCCAGAACCGTTGTCTGCTTCGTCTCGGTCTCCTTGCTGTCATCGGTGCCATACTTGCACTGTTCATCTGGTCCCTGTGGTTCGGTGTCAACTCCGATCGAGACAATGTGCCATCCTTGATTAACCATCTCATTCCTGCGGGTCATTGCGCCTGCCAAACAGCTGTGTCATTCGAATGCGGGAGTTGCCTCCATTGTGCTTCTGGCCAATCCGACGACCCAACACCAAAGGCACGGGCCTATAACCCAGTCTACGACGCACACAACCTATCCCTCAATGCTGCCCAGTGCCAGAGCTTCTTTCCAGGCCTCTTCGAAGATGTCCACCGCGCGCAGACATTCTGGACTGCGAAAAGTGGCATATCGATGCATGACCTGAATGAGATTCATCTAGTTGATGGTATGACCCGTGCTGCAGTTGTTAACGGTCAGCTATATGTGATATCCACTCATTCCAGGGGCGATGACCATCGCCGCAAGATCTTGGGCATCTTGGGTTCGATCCATCGGGCACTAACAACGGGCCCTGATACTTCTGCTCTGCCGAATACGGAGTTCGTTTTCTCCGTTGAAGACAAAGTAGACGATGTTGCCAGTCCACATCACCCTCTATGGGTATTGGCCCGGAAACAGGATGAGCAAGCCGTGTGGCTCATGCCAGACTTCGGCTTTTGGGCATGGGAACACGGCAAGGTTGACGGCAAAGTCGGTCCGTATACTCAGGTGGTTGATCGTATTCGACACAAAGAGGTACCCTGGGAGGAGAAAGAGACAAAACTGGTGTGGAGGGGGAAACTGAGCTTCGCGGCGAAGATGCGGCGGGCATTGCTGGAGACAGCAAGGAATCAGCCGTGGGCTGATGTCAAGGAAATAATATGGAAGGACCAGACGAACTTTATTAGCATGGAGGACCACTGCCGGTATCGCTTCATTGCTCATGTAGAAGGTGAGCATAGTTTTCCCTGCTCATGCCAACGGGCACTGCTAACAGATCTGGATCAGGACGATCCTATTCTGCGTCTCTGAAATATCGCCAGGCATGCGGTTCTGTCGTCGTCGCACATAAACTCCAATATATCCAACACCATCACTACCTCCTTGTCTCGTCCGGCCCGGATCAGAATTTTGTCGAAGTGGAGCGCGACTTTTCTGATCTGCCCGGAAAGATGCAGGCGTTACTAGAGAATCCAGCGTCTGCTGAGCGCATTGCCAATAACAGTGTGACTACCTTTCGGGATCGGTATTTAACTCCAGCTGCAGAATCATGTTATTGGCGCGCGCTTCTGAACGGATGGACAGCGGCGTCGCCACATATCACGGACGTAATTCCGCCATCTGAATTTGTACTGAGAGGAATTCGCTATGAGTCTTTTGTATTGCTTGATAGCCAGAAAATGATGAACTTTCCATAACCAATATTCAGTGATATGAAGTACACATAGATTACAGAATAGCCACAAGATATAGAATACAGTACCATCAGCAAGAATGCTCTCTGCATTAGCAGTACGCAACAGGGAAAACGGGCATCACGAGTCGCTGCTGGTGGAGCTTGAGCCCCCAGACAAGTCTTCCCAACGCTATACGTTCAGAGTATGCAGATCAGACACGTTGATCCGATTCCCTCGATTGCTGGAGCCGCACGAACTGCTTATAATGTAGGGATCTATGATCATCAGATCGCGCGATCGGCTCTTTTGCAAGCCCGAAAATCGGATCGGTACCGATACGACCAGTTCAATCGCCTGGTTAGGTAGATAGTTAGTTGTTTTGAACATGCAGTTCCTGACCAGCCCGGCCGGTTACAGGAACTTCTTGCAGATAGTACCATCAAGCCCCGGATCCGTTCCGGGATGCCACCAACGTGCACCTAAGAAGCAAAGAGAACACGGGGCTCTTCCTAGACTATTTACACGCGGCAGTTAAGGTTACCGGTCCCATCACTAGCTTCTTTGTCCGCCGCTATCAGGTGGCTCGTGAGTCTTCCTCTTCGACAAATAGCGGCGACTGAGGCACGTCTCCCATAGGTTGATCTCCATTGGAACTAGTCTGTGCTGCGTAGTGTAGCTTGGTGGTGTTATGTGGGTGACCGGGAAAAGGGGGTCGGTTGATTACAGTGGGTTTTTTTTTTTTTTTTTGCTGATTTTGCCGACTCAGCTCGGCTTATTCGTATAGGCGATAGGCTAAGATGGCTAGTGATCAATAGTTACTGATCTACATCCCCTCCGATACCGATTTGGCCCTGTGGAGCAGACGCAATTAAACTCAAAATTCAATGATCGCCTCTACTGCGCAGTATAAAAGGTCGCTTACTCGCCCACCAACTTAAGCATCGGTCTCTTCCCCGTGTTCTTTTGCCCTCTAGTTTTCCCCCGTGCTTGTAGGGACTGCTGCTTCCTATCCAGAATTTTGCAAATTTGGCCAAGATCTATTCTTATCCTCCGATTCGGCCGAAATGAGGATAATTCAAGTTCTGGCTTTCCTACTAGGAACAGCTCTAGCCCAGGACGACGTTAGCAGCGGCAACAATCCCAGCAACGGCGGCGGCAGCGCTCCTCTCTGCCCGACCGGGTTGTATAGCCAAGCCCAATGCTGTGGTACGGACACACTTGGGTTGTTGGACATTGGCTGCAAGAACCCGAGCTCTAGTCCATCCAACTTAGCGGATTTCAAGAGCGAATGTGCGAAATCAAAAAAATCAGCAAAATGCTGCGTACTTCCTATTGTCAGTTGAGCCTATGTCCAAGTTCTCATGCTATTTTGCTTTTGTCTAATTCTTTCCCACAGGCTGGTCAAGATGTACAATGTGCAGACGCTGTTTGAACGGAAGAGGAAAACGTGATTTAAATACGACACACCAAGAGAATGTGAATCAATCGATGCTGGTAACTAGCCACTATAGTTATTATAGTATCTTGACATATTTTGAAGTACGAGAGATATAAAGTTTGCAAAACTGTGCAGCATAGCCTTACAGCTTTAGCCTTTGAGCCTGTGAAGATAGATCTACCTGCAGGGCAGAAGGCCTCCATTGGCCTACGGTATAAATACTTTGGTTCGGTGGTTTTAAACCAGAGCCCATTGGTGTTAAAACTATATAGGTATTGAAACTAAAGTAATGACGCCCCTCTGGCGCGGTGTTTACGTTGCTAAAAATGGACATCGTGGTTTTTAAACCACCACGGTCTTATAGCTCCACTCCAGTGTTAATACTATAGTGGTTTTAAATTTTTAAATATATAGCATTCTCATGGTCTACATGATGAAGTGAACTTGGTAGGAAACTGGCAGAGAAGAGAGGATGGAGAAGAATTTGAGATAGGGTGCTCAAGTAACGGAATAATTACCGCAGATATATCCTGTATAGTTCCCAGACTCTGTTCGTAGTTGAAACCATTGCGTCTTTATGTTCCGACGCTAAAACAAGATCCTAGAATCATGCAGATCTATTACAGGACACGGCTAGCTTTGTGGCACTCAATATCTGGGTGTATTTCATCCTCGAAATTGATTAGCCATTCTTTCTATAGCAAGTCTGACTCCTCATAGATCCATACCCTATTGTTCCTGTCTTTGAGGACTGGATTTTTCCCCATGTTCTTATAGGCGGGCGTGTCCCGACGTCTCGCGTTATACATACCATGCCTCTTCGGGCTTAACTATGGTTGGAGGTCTACCTGCGGTGAAGATGGTCAGGGCGGAACAGTGCCGTTTAATGTCTACCAGAGAGAAATCTCGAAGTGCTAGCCACAATAAACGGAAGCCAGGTGAACCCTATGTTGAGGATGATGAACGGGGAAGAATGCGGTAATGGATTGGCTCGGTTAGCCTACACTGACACCATCATTCGAGTTTATATTACAACTGATGGCCCATGGTGTCTAGGGGGGGTGGATGCCGAATTGTCAGGCATCGGTTATCATGAGGATGGCCAAAGCATTAGTCGGTGTTTTGTAACACCTGGCAAGACACATGAACCTGGTATTTCCATCGGACGTGGCCCCTGTGATGCAGAGGACGAATGCTTAGACAAGTCCTAGACGCACCAAGCTTCAACTTTGGGCTCTGGGGTACGAAAGAGCTTATAAAGCTTCTATAACCTATTTATGATGGAATCTGTTAGAGTAGTCTGTGCTATAGATCCCGGTTATAAAATTAGGTTGTGGAGTACAGCAGGTATGAAGGCCATTACTTTGTTTAGGAGTCCACTCCATTGCCCTCCGAAGCAGTGGCACTTCCGTCATGGCGTCCACCTTTGGGCAGCTACACATGCAGCGCCGATTGCTCGGACCCATCGAGGCGGACCGATGTCCTTCTTTGCCTTGGCTATCAGTCAGTTATTTACCCCCGGAAAATGTGCGGGTAGATCCAGTTCGAAGCAGTAGACTTGAAGAGCGGCACTATATTATCATTCTTTCAATCAATGCCATCTCATTCAGCATAATAAGGCTGGTTTGGGGAATGGCTGTGTGATCTCGCTGCCTTTTCTGATATGCCAAGTCAGCGCGTATCGCCTCTTTTTGTCCTGTGGCTGACAAACAAGTACACGAATCACATCGATTAGCAGAAGTCTCAGTATCCATACAAATGCCATTATTGGATCGTTAGATGCCAGTACGAGGCCGATGTATAAAGTCTGACGAGCGCTAGTAGAGCCCCGCAGCTTTTGCTTAGCTACCCCTTTCCTCTGGGCTGAGCTTCTGTAATTATTTAGAGTCGTTAGCTGTTCAGATTGGTGAAAGAATCCGAGGTTTCATGGTTGGGAAGACAAAGCGCCATGGGACAAGCGGAGAGTCGCGAGTACCATTACTCTCCATTACCTCAGGGATATATCCCTCTGCTGTGCTTACTGCCTAGCAAGGAGAGAGACTCCTGTATTCTAAGGTCGTCTGTTCGACTATCCCTTGGAGCAGTTGGCAGACACAACCCACCAGTACGAGGCTATATCCTATGTCTAGGGTGACTTGAACAGCCCTCAATCAATCTCTTTACAGGGCTGTAATTTCCCCGTTACTGCCAATCTTCACACAGCTCTGTTGCACATTCGTGACCGGTACATCGATCGGATTCTCTGGATTGATGTGGTTTGCATAAATCAGCAGGATCTCAAGGAGAGGGGGGAGCAGGTTCGACGCATGGCTGAAACATCCAGTAAAGCTAGGAGTGTGATTGTTTGGCTCGGGAATATGGCAAATGAGAGTGATAAAGCACTGGAGAAGATACGGATCGCAGCTCAGAGGCAGTATCGCGTGGACGACAAGCCTACCAAGGAAGCGGTGTTCTCTTTGCTCCAGCGATCCTGGTTTAAGCGCATATGGGTACCCTAAACCTCACCTACCAAACTAAAGCCTTCCATTTCTGATAACTATAATCAGGTGCTTCAGGAGGTTGCTGCCGCGCGACAGGTAAACAATTTCCGCCGACGACATTTGATATTCTTCCCTGGTATGCGTCAAGCGCAACTCGTCGCACCAAGCTCTACGTGTTTCGCTTTCGGGTACCTCCCAGGTGGCCACGTCCAAACCAGATATGGGTGCAATGGAATATTGCAAATAGGACTGTGAGCCTGAGAAGCTCTCTGTGCAAGTCGAATTCGGTGAAGTTGCACTCGATGCTAGAAAGGGGCCAAAATGTCTTTCGGATATCTGTGGAAGACAGTCAACTCATGATGCGTGTCCCGCCCTCTGATCAGCAGAACCCCCGGCTGTATCCCACAGAAATTTTGTTTTATACTAGCGGTACAGGGATAAGGATGTGGAAGTCTGACGTAAGTGTACAAACATCAACTTTCTAATGATTTGGAAAATGGAGCTCACCTAATATCAGTTCAATAATTTCACTCTTGAACCAGGACCTTTGAACTACAGTGGGGTATGACGAAAAAGGTATAGAGAGGGTTTCTTCCTTATACCTGAATACAGCCTGTTCGGTCCTTCCCCAGTTGTTAAAATCTGGGGTTAAAACTAATTTATATATGGGCATTTGCCATTTGTTCATCACAAATCTACTTGTTGGGGGGATCTTTTGTTGTATTTCTTGTTTGTCGGCAGCATGGTTCAAGCTTATTAACTCAAGCAGAGCACTAAGCCTCGGGTTTCGTATAAACTCTAGCCTTTTGTCTTTGATACAGTGATAATAACCTTTTAATATGAGCTCTAATGCAAGCGGGATCTGGAATGCTTTGGGGACCGACGCAGGATTTCTAACACTGCACTTCGGTATGACCAAAAGCCCTATACCTTATAGGCGGAACGGGACCGCATACCAGTGCAATCCTATGTTTGATCTGCGTGTTCATTTTTTATAAGCGTTAACAACGGTCGATCCACTTAATCATGCAACTCAAGTAAACAGTCAAGAGCCTTCATGCTTACAAGCACGCGATCTTTCGTGATCCATGTACGATTGCCAAGGCTGCATACTTTAATGGTGACATCACCATGGTATACTGTCGCATGGAAGTGTTGCAGGCTCTACTCCGTAGTCTCTGGGTGAGATGTTCTCTGCTACAAAAGTCATGACAGCGGCTGTATCAACCGGCCGAGAGAGAGAGACGGGTATTCGGTAACCACAGTTTACAACTTAAACTTTGGTACAAGGCAGATCATGACGGGTGGTATACTCAACTTGTCATTGCGACCCAGACGGGACTCACCCACGGTTCGGATTGAGTATAACCCAAGAATTGCTGCTTGCGGCCTAAACATATTCCATATTGGTATAATATTGACGCAATATAATGTAAAGACAATTATTGCTCTGCGTCTCAGCTCCTTACTGCTGCAATTATAATTCTGTTGGTCGCCGCCGCCGCTATGCGCATCCAACACTATGGATACTTGACTATGATCGGCAAATTCACTGTTATCAACCTACTACTTATACCTTGCGTTTGATTTAGGTCATAATGGGTCGTGCGTACGTTGAGACTTGCCTCGAAACCTTGTACCAAGATCGGGGCTCTCCCGTTAACAAGGAATAGATGGGTCGGAAGAGCGCCTTTGTCACCAGAGGAACTTCAGAAGATTGGTCCTCAGGCGCGAAAATGGGCTGCCGAGGTACAGCTACATCCCCCTTATTATCAGATTTTTGTCAACGCTAACACATATTGCCCTAAGCAAATCCTGAACGTATGGAGGCGGGGAAAGGACATTAATAACCCAAGGGCCCTATGGGGTGACGAGGTACGTTTCAGCTGGGAGAACCATGCAGTTTTTATTCTGAATATATCCTGTAGTTGGAATATATAATGGTAGAATTTGACCCTTCGCAATCTCGTGCAACGGCGGTATTGGATCAGGAGAACGTCCTGCGTCGGTGGGATAATCAGGTGTCCAGCAAGTTGGGGTAAGTGAGGATTTAGCCCTGATTGGAGCTCGATGGCGATCACGGATCATCCAATTAATAAATAGTCTAGGGAATCACTCGAATATGAGGCCATGGATCTGCAGCCAGAAGGGCAGAGCTTTGCGATCGAGTCCACCCCTTCGAAGCCATACACCGACGAAACACGGGACCTGCTCAATGTCGAGAGGAATATGAAACGGAGGTAAGTGCGTAGTCTTGAGTGTTGGTTATGCCAGTGGTCTAACCATTACAGACGAGCATTAATCAAAGAGCTTTTGGGCCCTACTCAGTACCCGCTAACCATTGCTTCCTTTCCGCGCTTGGGTACCAAAGGCCAATTCACGACTCCCCACTATGACACCTCGCAGAGTGACGTCCACCACAGAATGTTACCACCCCAAGTGGTGGCTCCGGGGCTTCGGTATTTCTACATGAACCAACAAGTTCTTGGTCGAAGAAAACGTCCCTTTGGGCAGCATGTCCCAATATATAGGGATTGTAACACGCCGAGACCTTTCCTAGATGAAGATTGCTTAGCCGAGGGAGCATTGTTTGGGAAAGACTCTGTCTATCTCGAAGGACAGGCATTCGGCGCATCATGCTGCGCACTCCAGACCACAGTTCAAGCTGCAAACGAGCCTGATGCGAGATGGCTACACGACCAATTAGTCATTCTCGGTCCCACTATGCTGGCATTAACAGCAGCAACCCCTATCTATAAGGGGTATCTGGTTAATACAGACTCACGGTGGGACTACCTAACGGCGAGTTATGATATCCGTACTTGGGAGGAAGAATTTAGGTTTCTAGAAACTTCTAAGCAATGTTGCTCGAGTCCACTAACTCGCTGGTCCTCCAACCGAGTGTACCTTTCCCATGAGCGGCCAACAAACATAGCAAGTGCCTGTGGGCAAGTTCAAATGGACGAACCAGCAAGGCAGCAGCTCCTTGATGGGGGCATGGATGAATCTATAGCCTCATACTTTTCCAATCTTCTATGGCACGATCCACTGTGCCTGAATCAAGATGCAATCGAATTGAGCAGCCCGGAGACTAATCATATATTCGAGAAGTTTCAACACGGAGTGTGGAAGCATGTCCACCTGAAAATGCCAGAAGCTGACACAGGGGCTGGATGGCGGGTTGAGTTCCGCCCCATGGAGGTTCAACTCAAAGATTCGGAAAACGCAGCATTCGCGGTGTTCATGTTTTTGTTGTCCAAGGCCATAATGGCATACCGGTTGAACTTCTATATCTCCATCGAGTTAGTGACGGAGTCCATGCAACTCGCACAAAAGCTTGATGCTGTGACCAAGGAACGCATTTGGTTTCGTCGACGGGACTGGGCTCCAAGCGGGTTGAATTCTGTCCAATGCAATCCTCAGCACGGCTGCGCTCAGTCTCAGAAAGAGGACGTATATGCTCTGATGACCATTGATGAGATTATCAACGGCGAGCGCTCAACAGTGCCGGCTCGATTCCCTGGATTAGTGCCCATCGTTCGATCGTATCTTCTAGAGCGGGATTTGCTTCCCAATGAAGAGGCCAAGCTGATGCAATACCTCAACCTCATCAGTTGTCGGGCAAGCGGTACTCTGCCCACTCCTGCGAGGTGGATGAGAGACTTTGTTGCCGAGCATGACGACTATCAACAGGATAGCGTTGTTAGCGAGAAGATATGCTATGATATGCTGAGAGAGGTTGTGAATATGAATGAAGCCGATTGAGTCTGGTATAGATAGACTTAGCAGACATCGTTGAAGCTTACAGAAAGTTATGGTAGGAATTAGCATTAGATATACATCTTCATGGAACTCAGCATTCCCCCTGTGAGCGGTTGGTATTTGACGAGCCCTTTGGCTATAAATAAAATCCCTCACTTTACCTTTTCATGAATTCAAGGAAGTTAATTTTTATATTTCATTGCCGCCCAGCTTTTCAACATCTCATCTTATGCACATATGGGGGCAGATATGTAGACAACTGAACGAACGAGAAAGGATGAAAAATTCAGATAATTCAACTATACAAGGGTCTATAGCTGGAAACCTAGGGGCTTTTATATAGATAAGCTAATACAAAGATTCTCAGGACTGTACAGAGTGGTCTAAGATAAGAGATTTCGAAACAAAAGAAATATTGACCAAGTTCAAGCGACTCACCGATTGCTAAAGGTTTTAGATATATATTTCTAGTATGACCTTGCTTTGCACCGCCAATGCCCAGCCTAAACAGCCAGCGTGTTGAATTTTCTCTCCCTAATTATTCGAACAGACCCACTTGGCAGGGATTTTTCATTATATAGTGCCTATTTACATCCTGCCAACCATTCGCCATCCTATGTAACCGATAGACTATAATGGACAGTACATAGTCACTTGTACATTATTATTCAACTATAAAACAGAATATTGAGCAATTTCTCAACAACATCCGATGTGGTGTAATGGCTAACATCGCTGTCTCTCACACAGCAGCTCGGGGTTCGATTCCCCGCATCGGAATTTAATTTTTTCTTTTTCTCTTTCTCTTTCTATCCTCCTCATTCCTTTCTCTCCTTTCTCTTTCTTCTTTGCACAGTTCTTTTGCCCTATCCTTTGCCGCGATCAACCCTGATAAACCGGCCGTCCATTGAATCGACATACATCCCGTTATTATAAACCAGCACATGTCGCCACTACATTCTCGGCTTACCATAGTATATACTCTTTGTACTAATAGCTTGGTTTGTATTAACCATGGTTTGCTGTCATTTGTTAAATTTGTCAATCTGGCATGTATCCAAGGTTCTGTATGTGGCCCACATACTGACAGACATTGGTCAACCGTGTTCAATGCTGTTTCCAATTCCGGCGCGTGGATATACTTCCGATGTGGTTACTATCTAGCGACCTCGGTAGAACCTGTATGGATACTGACCAGAGTAATATAGGGACTGCATGTCCAAGTTGAACAAGCCGTATGGTCACGATAATCCATAGGCAATAGCACCCGGAAGGATTCCGGAAAACATCCGGACGAACACGAAGACGGATGCCACGCTAGATTCCTTCTATATAGAAAACATAACAAAGATAGATTCCCCTCCTCCTCCATGATAGTGTATTCATTACTCCAAAGTAAAGAGAAGAAATCATCATGCAATGCCACGACTGCCATCATCTTCTGCGTATCGATCTTCATACGCATATTATGCCGCCCTCTCTACCAGATCTCTCCTCATACTCCTCAAGCTCTACAGATTCCCCATGGTTGTCTCTCCGGGCAAATCCCAAGAACCCAGAAGACATAGACATGTACGTAGGCGATCGCTTCTTCCGTACAGTCGGCCGGAACTGCTACGACGTCAACACACGTCTAGCAGAGATGGACGCCACAGGAACCGATATCCAAGTGCTCAGCACGATCCCCATTCTCTTCTTTTACGACCAGCCCGCTAAGCCAGTAACGATTCTAGCCAAGCATCTGAACAACCACATCGCTGGTCTCTGTACACAACATCCCGCCCGGTTTCTAGGCCTAGCAACAGTGCCACTGCAGGATGTCCCAGCAGCAGTAGCAGAGCTGCATCGAGCGAAGAGCGAGCTCCACCTACATGGCGTGGAGATCGGCACGACCATCGACGGAATCACACTAGATGACCCGCAGTTAGACCCATTCTGGCAGGCATGTGAGGAGCTCGAGATGCCCATCTTCATTCACCCGCTGGGTTACACCTGGCTGAAAGAGAACCCAAAACTCTGGTCCAGGTACTGGAGCTCGTGGCTGGTCGGCATGCCCAGCGAGACAGCGCTTGCCTTGCATCTCCTCATTTGCTCGGGGACGCTGCTACGATTCCCTCGGCTTCGACTGTGCTTTGCTCATGCGGGCGGCTCTTTTCCTGCATTGTTGGGGCGTATTCAGCATGGATATGACTGTCGGCCGGATCTCGTAGCCACGGATGCAGGCGGTGTCACTCCCATGGAACACGCGACAATACGTGATAATATCTGGATTGACAGTCTTACTCACGATGTTGATCTTCTTGAGTTTCTGGTGAAGAAGGTCGGACCACATCGGATCGTTATGGGCAGCGATTATCCGTTTCCATTGGGAGAAGTCCCGGAAGCTGGTAGAATGATTGCACGAGATAAGCGCTTGGAGAAGTTCCTTTCACAGAAGCAAAGAGCGGATATGTTGGCTGGTAATGCGCTGCGATTTCTCAATCTGGACGCGGATGAGAAATGGAGGGATGTACTGCAAAGGCGACTGAGGGCCTGTGAGAAGGGACATCGGTTGAAGCACTATTTATCTTAGCCTCTCTCTGTCTTTCTTCATACTTCGTTTTTTTCTCTCTCTCACTTTCTTTTCTGGTACGGACTATGGAGACATGATTTACGACCAAGAATAGTCAACATATTTTAGGCGTAATGAGCAATATTCAATACCATGAACTTGAAACACTTTGCGTATAAACAACTTCATGGCCCAGATCCTTTCTAGCTGAATCATGCTTGTCTAATTCTACTGAGCTTCAAATTCCAACCATGAGCTAGGGCTGCGTGTATGATATGTACAAGCATCATGCCGTTACATGTACGTAAACGCATATTATCTGCATGTTATGCCACTTACCACTGTCCGATACAAATGTTACCTAAAACTTATGGAAGAGTGAAGGACTTGCCTTCCCTTTGGCAAGACGGCGGCTCCTATTAACTTAAAGCTACCATTGCATATGTCAAGACTTTCCTCGGGCTTTCCTACGTAGATACAGGATTTTGACACAGAGAGCTATGAAAATATGCAAAGAACCCATACTTACACATCAAACATGCCCTAGTAGTCCGCTGTTGCTATAGATAACGTAATAGTCGTGTCGAATCTAATCAACCGCCCGGGTATAGGTCAATGCTCGTAGATTCAAGAGAGCATAGAGTTCAAACTGTTCAGCTATGTGCACGGCTAACACCAAGATATTAGCTTACATGTTTACGATGTACCCTCAGCACTATTGAAGTCAAATACCACTGCTTCAAGCGGACCACCATCCGGCATCCGTATCCGCCGGATCTGCTTCCGCTTTCTCGGGTGATCAGCCCTAACTGTACTTACAGTAAAAGGGCGTCTTTCCAACATGTATCAAGATTACATGAAGGAAGTAAGGTGTGTATGTATGGGGATAATCTTCAGGCGCACCTATGATATCTGAATCCCGGACCTCAAGAGATAGAGCCCTGTAACCCCGCGGTTCGTAACGACTGCCATTGACATTGTCAGGCGCGGTGACCATATAAGTTATGTTATATCTTGAATCTGCCCGGTGGAAATGATAACCTTTCCCACATATTGTTAATGACGTTTACCAAAATGATCCCTCCATTTTCCTTCGCATCGTGGGTAGCGGAGAATGAGGATAAGCTCCATCCGCCGGTCAACAATTACTGTCTCTACTCCGGCGAGGATTTTACTCTGATGGTTGTCGGGGGACCCAATGCTCGAAATGACTACCATGGTATCAGGCCCTTTTGATAAACTTGCTTTGAGACATGCCCTCGAACAATATTAACTGGCCTTTCTCAATGATAGTCAACCAAACCGAAGAATGGTTCTACCAGGTCAAAGGCGACATGATGCTGCGCATCGTCGAGAATCATACAGCTTTTCGCGAGGTATCCATCAAGGAGGGAGAGATGTTCTTACTTCCAGGTGGGTGTGGATCGCCCCATCACCAAACGGCCTTATGTTAAATGTCACAGGGAACACGCCACATAACCCAGTCCGATTCAGGGACACGGTCGGCCTAGTTATGGAACGCAAGCGGCCAGAAGATACCTTAGATCGTCTACGATGGTACTGTAGAAAGGGACAACATGAAGAGCCAACAGTCATACGTGAAGAAGTCTTTCACTGTACTGATCTGGGCACGCAATTGAAGCCATTGATTGAGAGATGGCAGGCGGATGAGGAGATTCGGAGATGTGGGGCTTGTGGAGTGATCGCGGATCCGAAATAGTTCTCTGATTATAAATTATGGAGCGCGCAGCGGTAACTAGTTGATCAACGGAGTACGTAGATGGTTTGTTTGGTCCATGAATTGTTCAAGTGGTGGAGTTGTCAGGGTGATCCCATACAACCCTTTTGGGATAACAAACAGCCCTAAGCAAGTAATCGCCAACTCCATGGTTCTTATAATAGCAGCAACAATACCTCCTTTAGGTGTTCTCCAGGTTTCGGGCTGTCTCTAGCGAGACTGTTTATCTTAGTGGGTTCTTGGCATTATTTACAGCCGGAAGACAGGATCAGACCACACTCACTGGACCGGATAACATCCGATGCATTCTGCCTGCATTCCGTCGTCGTCGGATATGTTCCCAACTCCTGACTTTCCCTCTTTTCCTGGTGTTATATCACCAGTATTAATCTGAAGTCGCCCAAGAGTTACAATGGCCATGTCTCCACAACTATGGGAGCTCGACACCCTCGAAGATGCGGAGGGCCATCTTCAGCGGCTCGATTTCCAGCCGTTCCAGCTGCAAAACCTCGTCAATGGAAACCTCGTCCCTCACCCCCACAATGATTGGATTGATTCCATGAACCCCAAGACCGGCCTCCACTTCGCATGCATTCCCAACAGCACTCCCGAGCAGATCGACCAAGCCGTCAAAGCCGCCGATGCAGCCTTCCCTTCGTGGTCGGCCACACCTCCCTCGCAACGATCACAGTACCTCCAGCGCATTGCTTCGCGAATTGAAGAACAGCGGGAATTGTTTGCGGTCTGGGAAAGCATCGACCAGGGCAAGACCTTGACGCGCGCAAGAGTGGAGATTGATCGCGCGGTGTCTAATTTCCGGTGGGACAATTCCTCGTCGCATTCCATACTCCTGTTTCTTGAATTAACGTGTGCGACGGGGCAGATACTTTGCGACCTATATCCTGCACCAAGAAACACATGCTCGATTAACCGATACGAACGTCTTGACCTATGAGCATCGTTCACCCAAAGGCGTCTTCGCCCTTATTTCACCATGGAACATGCCATTGTATCTTCTTACGTGGAAGATCGCGCCCTGTCTGGCCTTCGGGTGCACCGCCGTGGCAAAGCCGAGCGAGTTGACTAGCGTGACAGCCTACCGTATGTAATAAATACCTTTGACTTCAATGAGACCTGGCAGACCTGATAGACATCCAGTCCTCTCGGCCGTCTTCCAAGACGTCGGACTCCCTCCAGGTGTGATCAACCTGGTCTACGGAGCTGGGAACCCCACCGGCTCAGCTCTGGTTAGAAATCCGCTTGTAAAAGGCATCTCCTTCACCGGAGGTACAGCCACCGGCCGACAAATCCGCCGCGATACTGTCGACGACATCGGGAAGCATCTATCGCTCGAACTAGGCGGCAAGAACCCCACTCTTGTGTTCGACGATGTTGACATGGACAAGGCCGTCGCGACCGCAGCGGCAGCCGCATTTGAGAATCAAGGAGAGGTATGCTCCAGACCAGAGACTCCAAGTCAGGCAAGTCGAGGGCTAACAATCTTCAGATCTGTCTCTGTGGTTCCCGGATCTATGTCCAAAGGAGAGTCTGGTCGGAGTTCGTGTCGCGCTTCGTCTCACATGTCAAAAAGCATTATGAACTGGGTAACACAGTCGGTGCTGTCGTTTCTTTACCACATTATAACAAAATCCGGTCGTATCTCTCTCTAGCTGCGGAAGACCCCGTCAGCGTCTTCCATCTCGGTTCTGTACCACCGGAAAACCCGGAAGGAGGGCTCTGGATAGAGCCGGCTGTCTTGACGGTGTCGGAGTCGAGCCCGTTGTTGACGGACGAGATTTTCGGCCCCGTTGTAACTCTCACTCCGTTTGATACGGAGGAAGAAGCGATTCGGAAGGCTAATGATAGTCAGTATGGACTGGCCAGTATCTTATTGACTAAAGATGGAGCGCGCATGCGACGTGTCGGTGAGAGACTGGAAGCTGGGTTGGTGTGGGTCAACTGTTGGCTGGTTCGGGAACTAGGGACGCCGTTCGGAGGGATGAAGGCTTCCGGCACAGGCAGAGAAGGGGGTGAGTATAGTAGGGAGGTGTTTACCTCTGTGCGCACGTTGCATATTCCGCAGGTATAGACGGTGTAGATATTACTTTTTTGTCGTTTCCCCTTATGCATTGCACAGTTGCCCAACAATGTTTCATACGAGCTTCTGTTCTGTCGAAGAACAATATTAATACGGTCAATTTCCATTTCGATGTATGCATTCACTGTGAGAGTCGACCATGAAACGTACTAAGTAAACCACATTATCCCGATCCAGGCGCCATTGGCCAATGTATAGGACTTCCTCTAGTGGGCTGTGAATCCCCCATCAACTGGCAAGGAAACCCCCGTCACTAAGCTGGCATCGTCACTAGCCAACACCACCGCCATTCGGGCAACATCGTCTGGTTGTCCAAGCCCTCTAAAGGGCTGCATCCGACGTAGCGCCTCCATTGTAGAGGGCGAGCCCTCCTCAACATCGCGTACCATAGCTGTGTAAATAACTATAGGCGGTTGTTAGTACAAGACCGCACGCAATCCCATCCGAGGAAACAACGAAGGAAGAGATACATACCCCCAGGACAAATAGCATTCACATGAATCCGATCAGGGGCATAATCCAGCGCCAGCTGTCGAGTAAAGTTGACGATAGCTCCTTTGGACGCACAATAAGCCGCTACAACCACGTCAGTCAAAGCCTATAAACCGATGCCAAATCCTCAGAAGATAACGTACGAGCACCCAACCCTCCTACCAACCCCCACACAGAACTTATGTTAATAACCCAGCCCCGATCGCCCGAAGAATGAGCTCCTGCTTCAGCATCTGTGCAATCGCATACTTGCAGCCAAGGAAGACCGACTTCGTGTTGACCCGAAGGATCGTGTCCCAGTCATGTTCGTCTGTTTCGTGAACGCGGGTTGGATTCCGGGTGTCTGTGGAGAGCCCGGCGTTGTTGACTAAACTACGCAACTGTTATTTGCATCCCAGTGGTTAGGGTATTAGAGTAGTGTGATACTTACATATCTAGTCGACCGAACTCTGTGACGGCTGTTTGCACCGCTCGTTCCATTTGGTGGGCATCGCTGACGTCTGTTTGGACGTAGATGGCTCGCCCGCCCGCTTTGATAATCGCGTCGTGGGTAGTTATCTCGACTTCATCTGGAACCTGGGATCGCGCGGTTGGCGATAGATCTGTGCAGACTATATGTGCGCCTTCCTGTGCGTACCGAAGGGCAATGGCCCTTCCTATTCCTGAGGAGGAGCCGGTTATGAGGGTTACTTTGTTGAGGAGACGGGCCATGTTTGGTTACAGAGCTGAATAGAGGGGTCAAATTGTCCACTAAGTTAAGTCAGGAGTACCACATATATATATACCCGACGACAACGTAGCATTGGGCTTCCACAATCAAGGAATTTCCTTGATTTCGAAGATATGTGCAATCGCCAAATGCCCCACCATTTAGAAGGCTTCCTTTTGATCCGCATCATGAGGGGTAGTTGGTCCAGACCATGGTATTAATGAATAGGACTATACATATCGGACTGTGTAAGCACTCCAACATGTACCACTAATGCAATTAGGATTTCCCTAAAACAGACCGCCAACTGGCCCTTCACATGGTTAAACACGTATAGTGAATGGGATATGCGATCTCGGCCAAACTTGCAGAGATTTCTAACTTTCGAGACATCCAACCGCATGTTGTGAACATGTGGTACTCTTGAAGGAGACATGGGCAAGCCCCCTTGCTGGAAAACTAAAGGACAGGAGCAACTCTTGTAGCCCTTGAAGTCGGGTAGGTTAGTTATGATGCAGCCTTGGCATCAGAATCCATACTTTCCCAGTCCTTCAGGGAGCAATGCTTTCCTCACGAGGACGGGCGAAACGGACAAAATTCAACATCCCATAGGCACAGACCATACATAAGTCATGTTGAGACATATGACCGCACGTCCAGTCCATGACCACAGGCCAGTCTTGCGGGGACCCCAAATACCCCACACCTACCGAACTTGTTATACGATCAGCGACAAGAATGCAAGGGCGTCAATGTCGGTTAACGCGCACTTCTACGGCGAGACCGAAGCGGTCCATGTCGCTTAGAATTATGACATATATGTGGCAGTATCCCCACCAACCTGCAAAGACGAAACGTGTACCGCCCAACACCGAATAGCCCAGATCTTCGGCAGACAATCAATCAGAAGCCTCTGAAAAATGACGCATATCCACCGCGAAGCCTGTTATGCTTCGACCTGCATATTTGGTCTTCATTTCGCATAGACTCGGAGTGGGTTGTAGGCTTCTCGTTGCTTCTCGGCCAGTTTCGTAAGTCTGGGTTGCGGATATCATACATGTATGTACGGAGTACATACACCGTCATTTGGTGTAAAACTTGCCAAGTTCGTACACACAAAAAAAGCGTAAGTTTACCCATCGCATAAACCGGCAAGAAAATATTTCCCTTGGAAGTTGGAGCAAGTCATCCAGGCACCGCGGAGGGCATTTGGGGTAGTGCTACGGAATTGGGGTCGAGGAAACCAGCCCGAGAAAATCGAGAAACTTGCCCGATCCGGCAGTCGCCTCTCACGGCCTCGGCTTCGGATGTACGCGGTGTACTAAGTGTGTCTGTCTCAACTACCCCTTGAGTGTCGGTTTCCACACCGAGTGGCAATTCCATTATTCTATCGCTTTCCTTCTCGCTCACTGCCAGTTTGGCCGTGGCCAATAAGGCCTCTACTCAGGATGCGGGGTGATGTTGGCCTAGCACACACATTCACGAGACATTTTAACCGATCTGCTCAGACCTGAAAGCTCACACGGAAAATTAGGGTTTCGACCAAGAAATAGATTTTTCTTGGGATCGACACTAAATTAAGCCTCTGACACGGTTGCATCCAGAAGGTAAAAAATTAGACAATATTAATCCTCCGCTTGCTGCCGGTCTGACTAATGCAGGTCAACATAAAAATCAGGCCATCAACGAGAGGAAGTTTTTTTTTTTTCCTCTTCTTCCAGCGTCTTGGCATAGATAAGCGGGGGAGAGGAAATCGATTATAACATAGCAAATGGTAATTGCATCGCCACCTGGGGGAGATATGGGGGAGACTCTGGAGACATGCAATGAGAGCAGTTCAATTATAGAAAGGCAGACACTACTTTATTCCATGAAGAGCGAAGATCCTCAGGCAGGAACGGATTTCAACCGAAACCCTTGGGTAATGGAAAGGGTCCCGAGCCAATCAGAGAACCAAGTGGGTGCAAAGCTTTTCCAAGTGGGTCCAAACTGTTACTTAATTTGTTTCGATAACGATTCCCATTGGTTGGGGCGGGGCTTCCCGCCCACGGCCGCATGCAAAGTGTGGATTCTTCGAGCTTGAAATCTGCGCCTATGAGATCCTCACATTCGGGAAAGTCTCGGGAAACTGTATACACCGCGACCAAATGCGTCGCCTGCAGCCCCCAAACGCGATGTCAGCAAAGTTTGCTGCTGCGGGTATATCTCTGCGGATAGCACGTTGCAGGAGTGCATGCAGCAGGGCGCATCGTGTGATCTCACAGTTCCCCAGGTTCCTTGTTTGTTAGTCGAGAACTGGTCCTCGGACAGACCGTCACGGCATTGGCCACCGTTAACTCCAGACTGACTTCTGCTTCCAAAGGGGATCGCGTGGAGAGAACGGGATCTCAACGCCGTGACCCACCAGGGCTTGTGAGAATTTTCTCCCACCGCGGACTTTCTCAACATCCTTTGCGCTTATCTCCCAGCCCCGGTCCTCGGCGGAAGAGAGGATAGTCTTATAGCGTCTACCACGGCCTCTGGACTTCTTCTATCTCATTACTCTTGACCATCTCTGCGCTCGACAGGAGAGGGTAACTTGACTGTCTTATATACTTGACTGTCTAATACTCTCCACCCCTCGACGCTTCTCGCCCCGCAATAGTCGCATCAAGATGTTGATGGAAGGCGTCCCTCCACCGCCCGACCCAATCGAGAACAAGCATGGCGACCCCATGTACGCCGATGATGATTTGAAGGCGGAACTGCAGAACATCCCCGTCGATGACCCATTTGGTAATGAGGCAACAGCGGAGGTCAAGTACAAGACGTTGAAGTGGTGGTAAGTTCTGGATCCCTCGTGTCCACTGCACAACGGTGACTTAGACTAACGTCTCAGGCAATGTGGAATGTGTATGTTTAGCCGTCGCACGAGACCCATCCAATCGACAACATAGCTAACAATCCATGATACTAGTCATGATTGCCGAATCGGTCTCCCTTGGAGTCTTGTCCCTTCCTGCTACCCTTGACACGCTGGGTTTTGTTCCGTGGGTCCTCCCAGAATATTGCGTCTACAACCTTGTTCTTACAATTCGTCGATAGGGCGCTCATCCTGATTGTCGGTCTTGGTATCCTCGCCCTCTACACTGGATATGTTATTGGCCAATTCCGCGAGCGACACCCACACATTCACAACCTGGCTGATGCCGGTGAAATCCTCATGGGCCGGTTTGGCCGTGAACTGTTCGGTTTGGGCCAGATCCTGTTCTCGATCTTTATCATGGGCAGTCACATTGTCACCTTCACCATCATGATGAACACGATCACCGAACATGGCACCTGTTCCATCGTCTTCAGTATTGTGGGCATGGTGATCTGCTTGGTCCTCTCTCTGCCCCGTACGATCAAGAACATGACATACATCTCCGTCGCCTGTATGTCTTCCTGTACAACCAGACCAAAATCCCAGAGCAATCAACTGACCAACTCCTGCAGCCTTCATTAGTATCTTCTCCGCCGTCATGATCACCATGATCGGCGTTGGCGTTCAATACAAGGGCGGCACCAACATCTACGCCACCCAGCAGACAAACATCTACCACGGCTTCACTGCCGTGACCAACATTGTCTTCGCGTACTGCGCGCACGTCGCCTTCTTCGGTCTGATCGCCGAGATGGAAGAACCCAAGGACTTCACCAAGGCTCTGTGCCTGCTGCAAGGCTTCGAGATCGTCCTCTACGTCGTTGCCGCCACCGTCATCTACTACTACGTCGGCACCGGCGTCGCCTCGCCCGCGCTCGGATCCGCCGGTCCCGTGCTCAAGAAGGTCGCGTACGGTGTCGCCATCCCCACCATCATCGGTGCCGGTGTCGTCAACGGCCACGTCGGCCTCAAGTACATCTACGTTCGCATCTTCCGGAAGTCCGGCCGCATGGCCAAGCGCGACTTCGTCTCCGTTGGTTCCTGGGTTGGTATTGGTGTGACCTGCTGGGTTATCGCTTGGATTATCGGCGAGGGTATTCCCAGCTTCACCAATATTGTCAGCTTGGTTGTATGTAGCCCCACCCTTACGTCGGAACGGGGAAAGAAGGCTTTTTGCTAACTGACATGCCCAACAGAGTTCCTTGTTCGCCAGTTGGTTCACCTACGGTCTCAGCGGCGTGTACTGGTTGCATATGAACTGGGGTTACTGGTTCTCGTCCCCGCGCAAGATTGCACTGACTATCCTCAATTTCCTTATTGTTGGTATCGGTGGTACTATTGTATGTGACCCATTCTCTACCCCGGAGTCATATGAGTTGTACTAATTGTTCGTCTCACAGTGCGGACTCGGACTGTACGCCTCTGGCAAGGCCATCCACGACGACAGCTCCCGGGCCAGCTTCACCTGCGCCAATAATGCGGACTAGACTTTTTGCTTTACTTACGGTATTAATTGATCATATATATCTGGTTCTTTTTGCTTAGGGTTGGGTTTCTGTTTCAGCGTCTGACGATTTGCTACATGTTGCTTGGATGATCTACGATTGAGACCATGCTGATTCTATTTGTCATGTATATACTATAGACTTGCATTGAGCGTGTTGTTCTAGATGTCTGTTTGTATTTTGGGTGTTCCTGTATAGTGGTTTAGAGATATATATATGTTGATCTTCCTCTGTTTTGGAAAATAATTTGTGCTGCGTAGTACTAGTCGGGTTACAGTAGGCTTTGGTACAGACCCATACTGTTAATTTATTCCGAACTGGCGAGACTCCTGCGCTAGTGATCATTCACTCGTCATGGCAATGATCATCGTGGCATTACTATCCTGCTTGCAAACCGCTGATAAGTCGCTGAGCTGATATATCACATGGGCCGCTGCATAAATGGTACGTCCTCGTTGTCTTTGCCAGACCGACAGAGTAGATTCAACCGTTGTGCCGATAATGGATCCGGTGTCCTCCCCCTTTCCTTCGATTGATATTCCCGATGTTGATCTTTGGAGTTTTCTCTTCGAACGGACTGATCAATCATATCCGCCTGATAAAGGTATGTGTCAGCCTTGGGATAATCTTCGCGCTGCATTGTTGACTCCCCAGTTCTGTTCACCGCTGTCGACACTGAGAGGTGTCTCACGTATACACAAGTCCGCCAACGGTCGCTGAACTTCGCCCACTCCTTGCGTCGAAAATGGGATTGGCAGAAAGGCGATGTCCTGGTCGTCTTCACCACTAACTCGATTGATGTGCCGCCCGTCGTTTGGGGTACCCTTGCCATCGGCGGCGTGGTCTGTCCGGTGAACCCTAACTACCGTACGGAGGGGCTGTTACATCCCTTACGGGATACCAAGGCCAAGGCTCTCATCACACAGCGAGCTCAGGCTCCGGTGGCTTTTGAGGCCGCCGAACGTGCCGGTATCCCCCACGATCGCGTGGTAGTGCTGGATGAAGTAGCAGAAGATGAATTCGATGATGGGCGAGTGAAGGGGCCACATTCGGCCCCGATTCGCCGTCCAGGGGAAGATTTGGCTTTCTTGGTCTACTCATCCGGCACGACGGGTCTCCCCAAGGCTGTGATGCTTTCGCATCGCAACATGGTCGCGAACTTGCTACAGACTGCGTCGGTAGACAACGGCGTGTTGGCATGGAATGGAGGCTTGTACGGCGAGGGCGATCGCACCCTGGCTCTGTTGCCTTTCTTTCATATATATGGTATGTATCATCCGTTCACGTCGATGCCAAACAGACCTAACCCCGTGGATAGGCCTCACATATCTACTCAATCATACCGTCTACCTTGGTCTGTCAACGTTTATCATGCCCAGGTTTCACTTCGACACATTCTGCACCACCATTCAGAAACATCGAATCACCTACGCATACATAGTTCCTCCGATTATCCTGAAGCTGGTGTCCAACCCTCGTATCACTGAGTATGACCTCAGCTCGCTGCGGATGATGCTCTCCGCTGCTGCACCGCTCGCGGTGGAGCTAATCCAAGGTTTGCATCAGAAGCTCAAGCTTAGCGTGCGTCAGGCGTATGGCATGAGCGAATGCGCTCCGTGTACGCACATGCAGGTAGGTGCTGGGTGCCAGACAATAACTTTGGCGGCGGCTAACGACTGTTCTAGACTTGGAACGAAGCATACACCCATCCGGGTTCCGTTGGCCGCCTTCTCCCAAATATGACAGCCAAATATGCCCCAGTTGAGGGGGATACGGGACGATCCAAAGAGCTCTGGGTCAAAGGGCCGAATGTCTTCCTCGGATATCTGAATAACCCAACGACTAACGGTGAATCCTTCTCTGAGGATGGATATTATAAGACTGGTGATGTGGGATACGAGGATGAGAATGGCCATTTCTACATCACCGACCGAGTAAAGGAGTTGATCAAGTATAACGGGTTTCAGGTGGCACCGGCAGAACTCGAGGCGATCGCTTTAGGCCACCCTGCCATCGCAGATGTGGCTGTAACGGGGGTCAAGGATGGCCAGTCGGGGACAGAACTACCCCGGGCATATGTGGTTGTGGCGCTGGGATACGAGGGTACCCAGAGCATGGCAGATGCTATATATCAGTATGTGAGCGATCGGGTGATTAACTACAAGCGCTTGCGTGGGGGAGTGCGTTTTGTGTCGGTCATTCCGCGGAACCCATCCGGGAAAATTTTGCGACGAGAACTGAAGAAGTTGGACCGAGGGGCCTTGTAGCTTCCATACTTCATGGCCGACTGGTGGATTGTATAGCTGCATTGGAGACAGCATTGTGTCCGGAGAAAAGTTCCAGCGAAGCATCATAATTCACCATTCATATAGTTGTGAAAGCAGAATAAAGGAGCATTAAAGAAGTGGACGATCATTGGATCCAAACACCTGACCCCCGCACGCACGAGGTCGGCACTAAGCCGTATTTGGCAGTCCAAGGCTCCGATCCCTTCTGCCAGGGAGAACCTGAGGCCAATGCGATTGGTCTTCAGCCCTTCTTGGGGGTGTGCTTCACTACTAGTACCTCACTCTTATTCCCGATTCTTACCTCGGTTCCCCGACTCTGCTGCATATCCCTGACGCTGTCAAAAATGGACCCCCTCAGCTCATGCGAGGCAAACGTCCCCCGTACGATTTCTCACCCAAATCTGCCAAAATGACTGGTTTTCAAGCAGGTCGTCCGGTCGGAAACCAGGACTACACGTCCTCTACCGTAGTTATTATAGGGGCAGGCATATCCGGTACCACACCTGACTATATTCCCCCGCGTGGTGGCTACAGGACAACTGGTTAACGGACTCATAGGCCTCTGTATGGCTATTGATATTATCAAGCGAAGCCAATGTCGTAACCTTGTCATTCTGGAGAAAGGCAGCCAGGTCGGAGGTACTTGGAGTGATAACAGATACCCCGGATGCGCCTGTGACGGTACGTGCTTCAAGATCCATGTCATTGGTTGGCTTGTACTCAACTATCATCAGTCTGGAGCACATTGTACAGCTTCTCTTTTGAGCAAAAAACCGATTGGACAAGAGAGCATCCGGGACAGGAAGAGATTCGGGTACGTCTACGCGGATCGACGGTTTCCGAGTCCCAACTAACACGCCCAGGACTATTTGATCCGCGTTGCGGAGAAATATGGTCTCTATAAATACATCCGTTTCAACACGGCAGTGCAGGAAGCTCGCTGGGATGACAAAGAACTCAAGTGGAAGGTCAGCGTGACCACGTCGGGAGCCAAAGAGCCCCAATTCCACGAGTCATACGACATCACCACCGACTTCCTGGTATCTGCAGTCGGTCAGCTCAATGTGCCTAGTTGGCCCTCTATTACCGGTCTCAATGACTTCACCGGAAAATTGATGCATTCTGCCCGGTGGGACTGGACGTATGATTTCGCCGGAAAACGCGTCGCGATCATCGGAAATGGTAGGTAGTGGCTTTTTTTTTTTCATTCCTCAAGCCTCACTATCATGATCGTGATATTGACTGGTCTAGGCGCCACTTGCGCCCAAATCGTCCCCGAGCTGGCTAAATCGGTTTCGCAAGTCACGGTGTACCAGCGAACCCCCAACTGGGTCATCCCTCGGTATGATACGAGTGTCTCGGCTATCCAAAGATTCTTGCTCTCCTACGTGCCGCCTATCCGCTGGTGCAAACGCGCCCTCATGATGCAAGCTCGCGAGTTCACCCATGATGCTATCGCCAAGGCCGACTCAGTCATGTCAGGGTATATACGCAAAATATCCATCGGTACCATGAAGAGCCAGCTGTGTGATAAGCCAGAGCTATGGGACAAACTGACCCCAGATTACTCGCCCGGCTGCAAGCGTCTCATTCCATCGGACGACTACTTCCCCGCATTGAATAAGAAAAACGTGCATCTTGAGACGCGACCGATCCAGCGCATTACCGAGTCCGGAATCGAAACGACTGATGGCGGCCTCCAAGAGTATGATCTCATTGTCGCGGCGACGGGATTCCGCTCGGTCGAGTTTATGCATCCCATCCAGGTGTACGGGCGAAATGGACGTCCGGTATCAGATGTGTGGAAGGATGGGGCCGCAGCCTACTATGGTGTCACGGTCGAGGACCTCCCCAACTTTGGTATGCTGTACGGACCGAACACGAATCTGGGTGAGTAGAACATGGCTCTTCTCTTATGGGAACCTTGGACTCATCGCGTACAGGTCACAACTCGATCATTCTGATGATTGAGGCACAGTCGCGTTACTTGAGCACGCTGATCGGTGAGGTTGTGCGCGCCAAGGCTCGCAGCGACTCGCTGGTCTTGCAACCCCGGTCGGATGTAGTGGCTGCATTCAATGATCGCCTCCAGGAGGAGTTGGAGAGAAGTTCCTTCGCCGATCCGCAGTGCCATAGCTGGTATAAACTGGAAAATGGTCGGATCACTAACAACTGGCCGGGTCGGGTGGTCCGGTATCAGAAGGACTTGTCACAGGTGCGATGGGAGGATTACCTCGCTGATGGGACAGGCAAGTCCTTGGTGGAGCGCAAGAAAACCACTCATATCGGTCGGGTCCAGGAGGAATTGCCTGTTCGCTCCTCGACGTTGGTGCTGGGCGCTTTGGGAGTAGCCCTGGCAGTGGGCGGGTACTACATGAATGGACCGAAGGCGTTGCTGCAGCGGCGCCGTTAACTGTTCTCTCTCTATCTATCATCTACGGCACTCAGGCTGTTCAGTGCATATTCGCCAGTGGTCCGCCGTTGTCCATCGCAGTTAGTGAAAGTAAATAGGACGTTAATTTCATGTTAATTCTTCACCGATTTCACATTGCATTAGCTGTCTCACATTGATTGATTCATGTCCACAAACTCCTGCAGGGGTTTTGGCATGGGATATTGTTATGCAGCGAAGTCATTTGAATTTGTAAGGCACCAGTCACTGCTCTTCAGGCGAAAACGAAACTCGTGTAACTTTTCCCCGGTATGGGGCTTGCGTAAGGGAAAACGCATCAGATTTCAACCATGAGCATGTTCCCGCGTTATCCCGGTCCAGGCGTTGATCAGATAACTTTAACCTGATGAGATGTAGTTATTTGGATACTGTGCTATTGCCATTTCGACTCCGGATAAGTTCCCTTGGTGTCCGTCATGAGATATATATATTTCCGGAGATGGGATATCGTCGTTGATCTCCACTATATCTTCCTTTCTCGAACACGTTCCAAACCAATTGTAGCCTGGACACTTCACTTACATGTCAGCTGTTAGATTCGCACGTGGAGTATACAATTCATGTTATATACAAATGCACTACTCCGTACCTTTAACCATATCCCACTTCAACACTTCCAACTGATGAAATGTCTCATACCATGATTACCTAATACAGTCTTCAACCGAATCAGGCTAGACTACTACACTAACCAGCCTAGGCAATGGACAACGTGTCCCGAGGGCGGGACAAGACTTAAGTCCATTCCAAATATAACTTGGTCCAAAAGCCACATTTCATTCATTTCTATGCATGCCGGTATTAGAATAATTCCTACGAGGAGTATGAGTAACCCCACAGTAAACAGAACTGATACAAAGAGAAGAAAGAGATAGTTGTCCCCAACTCGACTCAAAAGGAAACGAAATCAAGAAAGTAAAGGTAAAAAAAAAAGAAAAAAAAAAAAAAAAAAAGAGAACCAAGGCCGATCGATCCTGTCGCCATCACTCGGCAGAAAGGGTTGATCTGATACCAATTAGAGTGGCTGGTTTCTCCGTCCGTTTGCCCCTTTTGTCGGATGGTCGCCGAAGACAGAAGGTTTGGAGGGGCATCGAGGTGGAGAAGGGGGATTTTATTTCAATATTTGTCTTTCAATAATTTGGTGTATCTGATTATAGTTTACTTTAGGTATGTACTGTGTCGTACGGTCGGAGATATGTTGGGGGGTTGCTTGCTTATTGTTGCATTGCATTGCATGTCGGGTAGGGGTGGATTGAATTTATTGAAGTACGGAGTTGTCCGTGCATCTTAGTCGTTGATAGAGAGTATCAATGCTACTCTGACAAAGGTCAAAAGTAAACCTTGAGATACGAACTCATGAAGTAAGTAGTCTCGTGATGCCATGTGGCGCCCAATGGCACGAGGAACTCCCGGAGCTTAGCTTCGAGGATGTTCAATTGAAGCTGTACTATTCCCATCTTCGACTCCCATGGGTATGTAACATTGCAGTGGGGGTGAACACTGTCAGACTCGTTTCAATGACATTGTCGCTTTGAGCACTGCCTCTCTGACGTCTCAAAATAGTGATCATGACAGCTCTTTTTGTTCTCCAGATGTTTGTTTCCAACTGCCAACCGTTCCATGCCAAGACGGGGGCCAAACAGAGCTTTGAGCGCCAGGAAGGATGGAGTCGGCCGACGAAAGCGAATGGCCCATTCGCTTCCTCTTCCGTCTGAGACAAGTCCGACGACTTGGCACTTGGCAGTGGCTCGCTAGTATTATTTCCGTACGGGTCACTTACATACGATACTATCACTCATGCTGATACGGACAATACCGTAGTAGATGACACTATTAGGACTAATTTAGTCGTGGGATCCATCTTACCCCCCCTTTTGATATATCACTAATTTACCTATCTGTGAGTGAGAGAGAGCACTTGAGGTACGGAGTTTCTCAAAAATGGAACAAATCCAGAGACATAAAAATGGGGACAGTGCATCATAAAGAGATCAAGGAACACAAAGAGAGGGAGAAGGGTTGGGGAGGGATAGCATTGTACCCGCCACACAACCAGATCGACGGGTTAGATCCCAGGGCTGCCCGACTGGGCTGAATCCCACGATTGATTGTGCCGAGGAACTGTTGCCTGTTTTCTGGGCACTGCAGGGTGTCATCTCGAACCATTCAGGATGTCCCTCCATATCTGTGCCCCATATCTTATAAGGCAATGAGAGGCTCGCAAGATCTCCTCCAATATGGAGAAGTCAGACGCTAACGCACGGTCAGGCCGTCCGGTTCTGCTGTCAGACCAGTCAAAGTGCCGTGTATCACGACGGCTTTGTTAGTTTGGACCCTGGTCAAGATGATGTATGTCCGACCATGTTCAGTGTATGTTTACCATGAGCGGAACCGACGGAACAGAGCTCTCGTGATGTCACTGGGTTGAAACGGTGGAGAGAGGTGGTCTGAGACCCTGCCTGAATGAGTGTCGATATTAAGATGGAGTCGATCCAAAAAACTTAAAAGACAACAAAAATACGCTGTATGAGGCCAAAAGACATGTTTGAACTATGGATTCGTGAACCAAATCTGTCCACACTCTAGCGAGGCAGACTATCTTTGATTACCGACATACGGGATATCAAGTTGAGTCGATAAATATAGTATCTTCTCCGGGAGATTAACGGTCAACCATCCTCCACAGACCAGAAGTGAGACATCCTTTCGGTGCTGTGAAGCGGATATTTGGATTATATTCATCGATACAGTAGTAGGCACTATTATGTATGTAGTACTGCGTAGGTAGACATTACGACATTGACTTTACCAGCCCGGAGAAGGAAAAAAAGGAATACCAATGGAAGGAAATGGAAGCCCTGGTGGCACTAAGTCCCAAACAGTCAACTCCGGGGAACGCCGCCTGCAGATGGGCGCGGATGGCGGAACCAGTGATTGGTGGCTGTGGGTACTCGGGTCCGACCCCAAAAGGCAAGTGATCACTTGCTCAAAGGGAAACTTGACCGTGTGTCACATTGCCTCTTCCATCTTAGCGGCATACCTGAAATAAATTACATCCATTCCTTGAAAGGGGCCATGTAACCTTGACATTTTCCATGTCAGAATTTTTCCTGATGGGACACTCACCGTGTTCGTGGATTGACTACTTATAATGATAATAGTTAACCATGTTATCGTTCCATCCGTTGCGGAGGGCCGGGAACGCTGTCTGTCAAACGTTGGACGGATGAATTCCAAACCTTTACACTGGATTCCTTCTCCTGTTTCACAACAGACGGCAAGAAAATGCACCGCCAGGGTCTTCAGCCTTGGCATCCGCGTTGATTGGACACCCTTCCCCAGCCCTGTAGGCCGGGGGGCTAAAACGACCAGTATTCGCCAATGAAATGACCGAAGAAAGGTGGGTCCAGGGGATCAAAAAGGGTCTAGTTAGGAAAGGGGTCTGGTGGGCCAGTGAGAAGAGGCAGTTTCACAAAAAGACAAGAGGAACAACACAGCAAAGGATGAAAAATATGAAAAAAAGTCAGAAACAAAAAAAAAAAAAAAATTCATACAAACTCTTTTTAGTTTATTGTAAAAAACTGAAGTGAAAGAGAAAAGAAAGGTTAAGGCAGACAGGGCTGTGAGGCTCTATTGTTAGTGAAGGAGCCCCGTAACAAGTCTCGGTGTATTTTTGGGAAATTCCGTTCTGGTACGGGTCATGACCATGCGGTGGTGGTGATGTTTCTTGTCTCCTCATTACATATGCTGACTTTCTCTCCTTCTGTCTCTCTCACGACGATCCATGATTTCTCTCTTTTCTTTCCCTTCCCTTCTTCTGGTTGCTGACTACTAACGGATCGACCGACTTCTTTCTTTTGGATCCCTTCTTTTTTTTACACTATCTTTCGACTTTCTATCTATTCTTATTCGATTTTGACGTTTTTCCCTTTTCCTCTCCCTCCACCCCTCCAGGAAATTATAACGACGCCAGCGTTTCCGATGGGCATCTCTTCATAGCTCCTTTTTACGGTGGTCGAAGATTGGATTGCGCTTCCATATTCAACGAAACCTTTTCCTTGCCATGTGGTGATCGCTTGGACCGCTAGATTAACGTCATGAAGCTCGCCAACACTCTGCACGCCCTCCGCCATCGGTGGGTTCCCGTCTTCCAAAAGGTGCGCTCCTCACCCGGGGAGGCCTTCGATCTCTTTTGGGAATTTGCTCGCCGATATTTCTTCTCCCTCGCGTTCATCTCGCTGTTTGGCGCCAAATTTCTCCATCTCTTCGCCCACCTGCACTCTCTCCCGCCGAGCAAGTTTCTCCTCTGGGGCGTTACATTCTTCTTTCAAGATGTCATGATCCTGCTACTGTTCCGGACCCTCGCTCAGAGGGTACCGTGGCGGTCCTTGGCCATCTTGGGTGCGATTATCGTCATTCCGTTCAGGTGCGTGTGTCCGCATGGGTTGCTATGGCCGAACTGACCCGTAACTAACGTTCTTCGTTTCTAATAGTTTGATGATGTCCGGAATGATGGCCTCCAATACCTCGTTCTACGTCGTGACCGGTGCCGAAATCCACTGGCGACAGGCCACATCCTTCCATGCCGACGCCGCCGCCATGCGGACCCTCCTGACGGGATTGGCCGGCTTTCTGATTGTGGAAGGTATCCTGCTGACGGTAAATTGGTTTGTGGCAGGGTTCATTCATCGGGTGACGGGTGGAATTTTGCACGTGTTGGCCTGGCCCATCCGTGTGCTGGTGGAGCGCCTGAGGCCCTGTTTCCATCGTGTCTACGGCAGTGTCCGGCGGCAACCCCTTCCGGACCCAGAGATTTACGAGCAGATTGCGGTCGATGATTACCTGGACGATAAGAGTGATGATGGAGAATCGGATCACTTGTTGCACACCGGGACCGAGAGCACGACCCCGACGGAGCGCAGGCGGACGGATACCCCCATGCGTCGTTTTGTCGTGTTGGG